AGGGTTTTTTAATTTTTATTTTGTTTTTGCGTTAATTTGCGGTACAATGTGCAGGGAGCAGTGCAGGACTGAGGATTAGCCAAAGACCTCCTGAACCCGTTGCCCATTTGATCTCCAAGCATCTCTGGGAGGAGCGGCAATTCTCGCCTGGCTGTTCCCTTGGGAGAAGTAGAGACAATGGTGGCTTTACCAACCGCTGCACAGCTAACGAATGTAAAATAATTGGGCCAGAGAGAGGATATTTAGATACGAATAACCTGTGTGAGGGAACAGGAAGTCTGGTCCTGGCAGATGTGGAGTGTGTGCTCTGTGACTGCTCTTCTACACAGTAGGAGGGGTTTTTTGTTGGTTTTTTGTTGTTTGTTTCTAAAAATCTTGCTGCTTTCTCCCTGTGAAACCCAGCGTTGTGCTGTGTCCCTGTGGTGTAGGACGAGGCAGCCCAAGCACGGCCCTCTGTCTCTGTAGCTGTCACCAGCAGGTTGTCACTGGCACTTCTGCATACTCAGGGACACGTTTTCCTCTCTTGGCACCAGGGGACCATTGTAATCACATAGATAGAGACTGAAATATGTACAACCCTCGTCTGGGGAGCGCAAAGCTAATTAAAGGTGTGCATCTGTGACTTCTCGGGCGTCGCAGACCCTCGAGCAGCACCTCTGCCCCATTCTGCAGCCGTGTCTGCTCATCCCCGTGGCAGTGTGAGTTGGTGCGTGGGGCTCTCCCCTTGGGGTCTGTCCTGGGGCAATGATTGCCTCCAATTTTAAATTCTAAGTACTTGGGGGAAAAATCAGCACCGCAGCCTGTTCTAGTGCTCCTGGTTGTAATTTGTGCTTTTGCAGAATCCCATGAGTTTTGCAAAGATAGCAACATATTTTTTTGTTTGCAGTCTTCAGTTACCTATTGCTGCTGTGAAAATCCCTGCTAGGTCTTTGCTGAGCAGGCTGTGGGGCACATCTTCCAATAGCTGCAGTCTCTGGAGGTGTGTTTATACGTACATAAATACAACCAGACCCTTCTTTGTGCATATCCCAAGACCAGCGAGGCTGTAGCTGGCACCCCTTCCTCCTGCCTGCAGGCGCAGCTTGGCTGGGGTTACTCTGTGCAGAGAGATGGAACTCGATTTTTACTAGAAAATTATTGTAACCACAAATTGTGAAAGTTGGCGGTGCTTACTGAATGCTGCAAGGAAGAAGAGTCCTAGAGGATTCCCGATCAAATTAATTTTGGTGTGTTTCCACGGAAACGGGCTGAGCTGTACCAAGAACAGGCAGGGGCCTTCGGTGGTGAGGCTCTGTGTGCTGTTCGCAGCGATGTCGCTGCTGGAAGCACGGCATTATTCCTTCAGCGATGGTCCGGCTCTCCACATGCCTTCCTGGTGCCATCTCTCTGCTGCCCACACCCTCTCCTTGCGGCCAGGATTCACTGTGTGTTTGTATCCAGTGGGGGAAAAACTTCCCAATGTCTGTTAAAATGGGGGACAACATGCGCTTATCTCTCCCAGCTCTGTTTTTCCACGCAGCTGATCTCTTCCTGCCCAGCTCCAGCTGCTGACCGCACTGGCCCCTTCCTGCTGTCGGGCCGCTTTCCTGCGTCTGTGGCTCATCCCTTTCTCCCCGTCCCCTGGTGCCACCAAGGGAAGGTGTGACTGCCCCCTGAATGGTGTTGCTCTGTCCTGGCTGCTGGACCCTGCAGGAACGCAGCTCCCCATGTGTGAGCACCTTCTGTTCTCTCGGTGGCCGTACCATAGCAGTACCCAACACTGTCCTGCGTGTGTCTATAGGACTTGTCAGCAGCCAGTGTTCAGCCAAGGCTCTGTACGTGTTCGAGGACAAATCTCGTTGGTCTGTAGAAGTCTGGTTTCCATTAAACATTCCTCAGGAGCCATGCCAGCTGTCACAGCACTGCCTCTCCCTCCAATTTGTCCACATCTTTCCTAACCCTCCATCTGCTATGGTGGGGTCTGCACATGGCGCTGGTGGCTGCCCTGGCTGCCCCAGGGATGTCCTTGGTATCTGTGACCTTGGCCTGGGACAGCAGGATGGCAAGGCGAGGTGAATGCAAACGGGCACTGCTTGCAGCCACGACTTCCTGCACCCCACTTTGCTGAAGGTGAGGATAAGGATAGCTTCCCAAAATGAAAAAAAAATCCTTGTCCCAAGCAAAACCAAACAGCACTGGACTGATTAAAGGGCACTCACCTTTTTCACTGTTAAGGTAATGTGAGATGTGGTTTATAACACGTCCACCTGGATTTCCTTCAGCTAAACGACTGGCAATTAAACTTTCAGGCCAGACAGCATTTTGAAAGGAAAATGTAACTTAAATAAGTTACACAGTTTCTTTTTTTCTGGTTAAAATATATAGTGTTTGGCTTTTTCCAACCCTTCCCTGCTATTGCCCTATCCTCTGTTTCCATAAAAGCAAAAGGCAAGCAGCTCGCCAAGGACCATTCCTGCGATGGTGGGGCTGAACGCCGTGCTGCCACGTGCCGTGGAAAAAACAGCGTGTGCAAACCCTCCATCCCCAGGCACTGTGAAAGGCTCATGGGGGCATACTCAGCTGGAGCTGGCCCTTGGAGGGGGATGGACAGACAGAGGGACAGACACCAACCAGGGCAGGCATGGATCCAGTGCTGTGCTGGGGGTGCAGGAGGGTGGGATGTGAGGAGCCACCTTGGGTGCTGCTGGTTTTCAGAGGGGCTGCTCAAGGGCCTGACAATGCGTCAAGGTGGGCATTTAAATGAGGTGGTGGAAGTTCACCCACTACTAAATGTGGTTAAGGAGCGAGGAGGGGCTGGGTGGCGGCCGTCAGCAGTGACAGCGAGGGTTTGCAAGGGGACAGACAAAGATTCCCCTGAGTGACAACTGAATGAGGGCCTCTGGCCCCGGCCTGAAGTGAACGCTGCAGGGACTGAAAGTGAATTATTTGCTGAGGTTTTCCATCGAATCAATGACATCATTCTGTGCTGGAGTTCACCCATTTACGCTCGCTCTCAGCCTGCTGGCAGCTGCGCTTAAATAATGACATTCAGGCCTGAATCTGCCTATTCAAGAGCAAAGGTTTGACCCTTCGAAGGAAACTGCTGAACGAGGCTTTTGAGGGGAAGGGGGGGGGTAGTCTGTCTGCATTTCAAGGCCGTGCTCCTCCCTGGGCTGGGGACCCGGCTGTCTCCGTGTACCACAGTTGCTCAGGGGTCTTGGGAAGGGCTGGGGGGCCCCGGGGTGCTCCTGGCCTGGGGACAGGGCGAGCAGAGCAGTCTGGGGACCTGCTGGGATCCCACACTGCCACTTGATTTCCCAGTGTAGAATCATAGAATGGTTTGGGTTGGAAGGGACCTTAAACATCCAATTCAGTGTTGTCCAATTTTTTTCTCCCCTTAGTAGCAGTGCTTTGGAAAAACCCCTGTTTGCCACTGTAGTGATAAGTTGTTTTGTCACTGAGTCTGCAATGGAAAAGAAGGAACAGCAATACAGTGAGAGCACCATTTTCCTCAGGTTAGGATGGCAGGGGGTAGCCTGTACTGTGCAGACACCATTCCTCACTAGTTCACACCTCATTTTTGGCTGTTATTTCCCCTCAGATTTTAACAACTGGTGCCAAAAGTGATAGTGCTCATCTTATTTTTTTAAACAAGAAGACAAATTAGAAAAACCCACCTGCGTATACAGCATTGCTCTGTTACAGCAATCTTTCCCCTGGTTTGGCAAGCCAGGGGTGTGTGAGGTGGTTGCACATTAACATCCGTGCCGTCACGTTTTCAACACTTGCAGATTCCTGAATTTCAGAAAGCACAGTCTCCAGTGCACCCCCACAGAGGAATCCAGCTTGGGACTGTGCCTATAGCTGGCATCCACATTTAGGGGAAATAACAATCTAAATCAAAGTGTAAAATTATTCCTTTGCTTTTGTTTTATTGTTCACATCCTGCTCCCTGAGGTGAGGCAAGATAAACCTCCTTCTGTTTGCATCTTGGGTATTTGCTGTTGGAAAAAAACCTCGCCTTCCCAAAAAGAGCACCTAACTTTGTGCAGGAAGATGTGGTTGATGTGAGGTTGTCCAATCCATCACATCTCCCCCTTGAGCTCTGCCAGCGGGAGAAAGACTTGGTTTTTTCTGTGGTGAAGTGTTACCCGTGGCTGTCACGGCTGTCACCAGGTGGGTGGCTTTGGCTTTGGGGTCTGCTGTGTTGTCACTGCCCTGTCCTGGCTGCAGCTCCTCTGCCAGTGTCGGCAAACGCCTTCACAACAACGGAGCCACTGACGGAGCTGTGAAGCAGCCGCACAGGATGCAAAAACACAAAGGATCCTTTTGGCTGGAAACTTCTCTGGAAAGGCCAAAAATAATTTGGGCTGAGCTACCAGCCACCATCAGGAAGTGTCTTTGCTTCAAGACCGATCGTGTCTTTGCCAGCGGGCTGGGAGCGGGTCCCAGGGCCACCTGCAGATGAGCCCTCTGGCTCCCTGCGCTCAGCGGCAGCGCTGTCGTACATCTCTTAGGGCCTGTTTGTGTCCGTGACCCCATAAAGAGGAGCAGCTATTTTGAGTCCTATCTTTTTCCCCACGTTTATTTTCTGGCTGTACAGATTTTTCTCCTGTATAATGAAGAACTTACTTGGAACAGTGACAAGCTGGTCTGATAGCCTGTGCGCTCCGAGGAGCTGTGCCGATGGGTGCAGGAGAAATGTGTTGGTGTCTCTTCCCGTACATAGCAGAACACAAAGCTATCGATCGGGTGTTTGTACGGTTTGGTGCATCCGTTAGTATTTCAGAAGCATTTTCGACAACACTGAAAAGAAAAAGAAAACAAAGCAAATGCTGTCCGCAGCCTCTAATGGTTATTAACATTGCAACATTTTCTAACGTGTTTTAGATTCATGATGACTATGGATTTTTCTAACCACTTCACTATAATTTTGTTCCATTTGGGCTACATTTCTAAGACTTGCCGCTTCTGTGAAACAATTGCAAAAATACACAGCTGATTGCTCTGTCTTCTTCCAGGTTACTCATCGGCTGTACAGAAATTCTCCCAGACTTTGCAGTCCTTTCAGTTTGACTTTATTGGTGACACGCTAACAGATGATGAGATTAATATTGGTAAGTCGTCATCTTTTTGATGCAAACTTTCAGTTACTGAGTGTCTCCTCTCTAGGAATTGCCTGTGCTGAAGGGTTTTAAACAGCATCAGGTGCCTCAGATGCCAGTCAGCTATTCCAGAGAGTATTTTACAAAGTTGAACTTTCATGGGTAGAGTTTCACACTCCCAGTTCAGTGGATAATTTGCAGAGATTTTCCACAGCTCTGGCCCTGCTCCATGCTGCCATGTACTGAGAAGGACGGTGGTGTGGTGCTGGCCTTCCAGCAAGCCCCACTTCCCGGTGCTGCAGGTAGGCTGGGAGCACGCATGACACCGAGCATCAGCTACATCCTCTGATCCAGATGGGCACTGCCCCTAAAGCTGCCTTTGCTCTGCTGAAAATGCCTTCCAAAAACAAAGCTGCCCTACACTGCCCTGAAAAAGGGAGCAGGCTGTAAACTGCCAGGAAAGATGAATTGCTGGAGGTGTTTGGTTATGGAAAATAATTGCCTGTCTCTGCCTTTGTGCAAGGGAGCCTGAGGCACAACTGTCATGCTACCTCCTTGCACATCAGTTTCGGGATTAGCAATCCTGAAGCTGTTTCATGTCCCTGCCAGCTTGGTGCAAATCTGCAGGTTATGCAGCTGCCAGCTGCACCCAGGGAGCTGAAACGAATTACCCAAGTGCCTGAAACCCAGCGCTTTTCCAATTAATCCTGCTCTTGGCTTAGCTGGCGCTGTCGAATGGCCAGTGCAGGGGTGTGGGTGCTGCATCAGGAGATCGTCCAGCCCCCAAGGGTCTGACCCTGGCTCATGGGACTAAACCCCAGGGGTGCCCGCAGGATGTTAGCCAAGCTGCTCCTGAGGGCTCAACAGAGGGAAAAAGAACAAAAAAAAGGAAAACCTAAAGCTTTTGTTAGGCTGAAGAGTGGCTGCAAGTGTGACATTGCTGATGTCAGGTCTCTCAGCCTTCGCTGAAAGGGGAAGGAAGTAAAGCCTGGTCTTTTGGTTGTTTTATTTAAAGCAATTCAAAGCAGATTGCAGCTTGCCCTTCAAAATCTTGTTTCCTTTATGGAAAGTCTCTAGGTGAAACCCACAAGAAACAACTGAGCCTCCAAATCTGACAGAAATAGAGGTACCGCATTTCCAAATGCATCTGAATAAGGGAGGTGAAAACGTTGCCTTATAAATGCCCTTTCTGGGAGCAGAGGGATCTGAAGCAGACAACCACATATGGAAAGGAGCATCCCCCCTCTCATCTGGAAGGGACAAAGCTTTGTTGTCCCATGCCCCTGCATTGTCTCTCTGCTGATGCAGCGGGGCTGTGGTGCTTGGTGGGTGAGGAAGAGTGCTGGAAACAGCAGAGGCTGAATGGAGGGATCATGGGCGGAGGAGAACAAGAAGAGATCACAGCAAATATAAAAACACTCTTTGGTGAAACGAGTGCGTTTCCCTACTTCTATTTTTGTTGAGGCATGTTTGGTTTGCTTTTTCAAGAAGAGGTTCTTGGTTTCCCAGTATGAAAAAGCCTGGGCTGTGTTTCTCCTCCTGCACCAAACCCTGCTGTGCCTCCTGGGCCTGAGCCACCTTGCAAGGCTCCCTTATTCGTGAAACAGCAGCAGGACGTTGACATCTCCGTCACAGCTTCCATCTCCTGCAAGGGTACCAGAGATGTGTGTGGGAGTGTAGGAGCTCATTTGATGTGCAGGATGTGGGAATGAAGCAAAACATTCACAGGCACTTCTTATCGTACTTCAGGGAACGTGTTTGAGCTGTAAACATAACTAATGGCGCTTTTTTCTTTTTATGTAGGCAGACAGCAGGCTGACAACCCTGCATGTCAGGCGGTGGCTTTGAACACTGCAAATGTGAGTCAGGACGCAGACGCTAGGTTGATGTTGTCTGTTGTGAGCAGCATTTTTCCCCAGGAACCTTAATAGTTACAGACGCACCCACGTTACACAGCGGCTGCTGTCCCTCTGCCGGTCACCCGTGTGGGACCTGAATCAGCAGCTCCTTCAGAGATGAAGGGAGCAATGAAATCAGATGGCGTGTTCCTGCTTCCCATGCACAGGAACCTGAAATCCCATGTTTTTAAGCAGCTGACGTTGCTGGCAGGACTCCGGCGCAGGGCAGCTGAGTCACTCCAGGCAGTTCCCAGGTGTGGCTTGGCCGGCAGCAGTTGCAGGGTTCGTCTCTGCAAGGGTGTGCGAGCATCAACCGGGTCCACCCCATGCTCCTGCACACCCTTGTCTGGCAGCAGGGTGTAGCCTGAGCCGTGTGTTCCTGGTGTGGGGCCAAATTCAGTGGGTTGCTCTGCGGCTGCAGCCAGGAAATGTGTGCTTGGACTCTTCCTGCAGAGCAAGAAAAAACCCATGTAGTGAAAATTGTAGGCACTGACATTTTCCCTGGAAGTTCAGGGCTGGATTCTCTTTCTCCTCATGATAATTCCTTTCCTGGCTTGGGCTCCCGGTGTCTGTGCACCCTTCAGGTTTCACATCGTCCTCAGTAACCACAGCAAAAGTCAGCGTGGTTGAGCGTAATGAATTATTAGGAGATTGCATGTGCCCGGTGCCGAAACCCTCGCTCTGAAAGAGAACTCAGAAGTTACTGACTCATCAAGAAGGTTATGTTTTGATGATGCCAGCTGAGGGACTGTGTCACGAGGCTGTGGTTTTTCCCTTTTGTGTCTGTCTCAGCAACTACAGAGTGAATCCTGCAGCAGTGGCAGCTCGTACTCGCTGGCTCTGCAGCAGCGTTACGGCTGGCTTTTAGCAGGAGGATGGGTACGTCTTGTAAGGTACTGCCTGTGGATGAGGGGAGAGGGCCCTCAGCTTGCAGATAGAGCACAAACGCATCTTCTCCCCTTATCTGTGAGATCTACGTGCCTCACTATACGTCTGATTTTTTTCCCTCGTGCGATAACCTCTGCCAAGCCAGGCATGCCAGAGCTCTGGATGCCTCCCTGCTCAAGAGCTCTGGTGTCAGCCAGGCACTTCTGAGCATCTCTGGTTCATTCCCAGACATTTAAATTGCTCTGCAGTAGTCAAGTGCCTCCGCGTGCTTTGCAGTGAGGGCAGGGGCTGAGCTGCCAGCACAGGAACCGCTGTAGGTTTTGCAAAGCCTCCGATGGGCCAAGTGTTCCCTCTTGGTGGTAACTCTTGATGTGGGGAGAGTCAGCAGCTCCTACCTAGTCTTTTTTTCCCCAGGCTAAATAAACCTTATTTATTTAATAATTAATAATTATGGCGCTCCTTAATTAATAAGGAGTTTATTAAAGGAAAGGTTTCATATTATTTTTGTTGCAGCTGGATTCCAAGAAAAGTGGTGCCCAATGAGATATTTTTGTTTCATTTTTAACATTTTGGAGAGCGCCATCAATGTCTGTGGCCCTTTCTACAACTGCTGCCTTTTCTTTATAGGTACACAGGCTTTGTGCTTCTTGTCACTGAACATATCTTTGTCATTCCAGGCTGTTTTTGTTTTACAGACTCGTCAGGGCCAGCCTTTACTGATGACCTTGCCTTGCTCAATTTCTGCTAAAAGAGGCCACCTCTTCTCTGTTTTTCAGCAAGCCTTTAGACAGTGACACTTGAGGTGCAGCCAGATTCGAGTACCCCAGTGTGTGTCCCATGCTCCAGTGTCACATCCCAGCTCTGCTGACCAACCTCTTCTCTTCTTTACAGCCGAGTCGTTTAAGGAGTTTGCAGAGCTGCTCCAGGAGGTAGAGCTGGAGAGGTCCATGATGGTAAGATGATCTGAATGGTGCTGGTAATTACTGCCTTGTTGCAATATTTAAATACTAAATCACAGCCAAATGGCAACATATACCTTGCCATGAAGCTTCTAATCAGAGGAAAGCTGGGAGCACCGGGCTGTTGTGCTTTGTACCATTCTTGGTCCACGATGCCATTGCCGTGGGCCCTGAGCAGCAAAGGGAAGGTGCTGAGTGGGGAAGGGGAGAGATTGACCCATGCAGTGTCCAAAACCTCTCTGCCATGCCAGGTGTGAGCACACAGGTCCCGCTGTGCCCCTGCCCTTGGCAGCACAGCTCCCGCAGGACAGTGCGCTGCCTTCAGTCTCCTGCTGCGTTGTGCCCTCCCCAGAGTGAGTGTTGGCTTCCCCTTCCACTCCTAATTCCAGGAAAAACACGAAGGTTATGCTCAGTAGAGAGCTTTTACAGCATGCCAGGAATGTGCTGCTTGGCTCTGCTTTCCTCTGCCTCGTGCAGCAGTGAGAGCTCGTGCCAGGCTGCCGGGCTGGGCCAGCACCACAGGGGTGGCTGTGCCGAAGGGACGTCACCATCCACTTCATGGGTCCGCAGGCAGGCAGGGAGCAGAAGGAAACCAGTAAGAGGCTGGAGGAAAGCAGAAAGATATTTCTCCATTAATATCCCAGATACAGTGGCAGTGGCTTCTTCTGCAGTGGGTGAGTGGGTGGAAGGGATCTTTTAGGGGTCATGGATGCTTTTAGGGATGCTGCCCAACTATTCTATCTGGTTTTTGTCCTCCACTTGTAGGACCAGTCCTTTGCAGTGGTGTACTCGGAAGGTTTCACACTCTCATCATGTTCATCAGCTTTAAATTATCTGAAAGGGCTGTGACAGTGTAGTGTCGTATCCCCTTCTCTTCCCCTCTCCCTTCTCTGGAGCTCAGGAGAGAGCCTGTTGTAGTTGAAGTGGGGACGGGAAGAGACAACAGGTTGTGTCCCAGTGTCAGGGTTGAGCTGGAGCCAGTTACACAAACTGGGGTGAGTTTGCCTGTGGATTTATGGAGAGGGAGTGCACAGCATGTCCCAGGAAAGTGTCTTTCAGACAGCTGACAGGGCTGGAAGACATGGGCAGGCTTTCCTTTTTCCCTAGCTGTCCCTGTTACTCTCTCGCTGTGACAGATAACTTGCTGTCATTCCTCTTCTGGCTCGATCTCAGGAGAAGGAAAATCATTTATTTGAAAGCAATGTTTAGAGCCATCAAGCCCAGTGCTGTCTATGGTGAGAAATGCCAGACCATGAGAAAGCCACGGCAGAGAGCCAGCCACATCTCTGCTTCCTCCTCACTTGTGCTCAGGGCCTTCGTCTCACCTTCTCTGAGAAGCAGCCCTTGCCCGTGGGGCCTTGCTGAGCTCTTAGGGGTTGTTTAGCCTTGGAAAACAGCTCATTTCAGGACTGTGACAGCTGCATTCTGGCAGTGCACTCACTTGTCTCTTGGGGCTATTCCTAGTGAGGGCTCACCCAGCAGCTCACATACTTTGAACACCTCTCAGCCCTTCCCATGGCCAATGGGGACAGCGGTTCTCCTAAAACAGGGTAAAAGTGGTAGGTGCTGTCGTCCTGCCCGAGCACAGCCTGTGACACGGGGCTGGTGACAGAATGGGGGAAAGCCCACCTGTCATTTACAGGATGTCCCCAAAACCTCATGTGCTGTGCTTGCAGTTTTCTGCATACTACAGATGGAGAAATGTGGATACAGATGGGTTAAGTGGTTTCACTTATGGACAGAGAAGAAGTTCGCAAGGCAGAGACATTAAAATCTATGAGTTCTTGGCTTCTAGCCCTGTTCAGCCTCTTCGTAGGAGAAAATGAATCTGTGTTGTGTAATTAAACTGTTTCTTTCTTTGTGCTGTAGGTACAAAACGCTAGTGATTTGCTGATCAAACCTCTGGAAAACTTTCGGAAAGAGCAAATAGGGTTCACCAAGGTAAGGCTTGATTGTTTGTTCATTTTACATTTAGACAGATATGTTTTCTATTACTGTGTTTGAATTCAGTTTTTCTCCTGCTTTTTGTTTGTTTTTAAAAAGTAGACAATTGTTGTACTACGTTTTGACTTCATGCTTTCAGAAACTTAACTTCCCATCTAACGCTGACTTTCAGCTGCTGGCACAAGACAGTCTGTGCTGTGACTTTTAGTCTGATTTTTCAATCATAAGAGGCTCCAAAACCTTTTCCTGAATTCTTTGGGTTCTCTCCTGGCCTGACTCCAGCACAGTCTCCATCCTGAGTGAGGAGCGCTTGTTTCAACCAGTGATGAGGAGATACTCCTTACTTCTTTCCCTCTTCTCCCCTTTGTTCAGCTAGTGCTATTGAGAATAAAATACTTTCCCCAGATAAGTGTGTGTTAGAGCGGGAGGGAGAAAGAGCAGCAGAGGCTGGCAGTCTGAACTTGATTATAGTCCTAGGGCTTTTCTTATGGAATAATTAAATAAAGCATCTAATGAGCCTTTCAGATGGACCAAACTTTTAAAGAAACAAACTATAAAAAGCAAATCCTGCGCATGTTGAGCAGAAAAGATTATTTTTCCCTTGTCTGCTATCAAGAGGTCCAGGTTCGACATTACTCAGCGGCAGCTTGAAATGGGGCTGGCTCTGAACCAGCTCAGAAATGGAGATGTTTTGGAGAACACTTGAGGCCTGGATTCAGCCCAGCCCATCTGGAGTCTTTGACGTTTAATAAATACAGGATTTGAGAAATGGTGCTTATCGCCATCCTGCCCTTCAGAACCCCCTGTGCAACTGTGAGTGTCCAAGGCCTCTCAGAACCCGCAGCAGTGTGAGCGTGGCAAAAGCTTGGTGCAGGGGCAGAGCCTCCTCGCCCCCGAGCCAGCGGGTTTTGCAGCAGGGCTCTGTGTTACAAGCACGAGAACCTGCCCAGGACTGAGAGCAAACTCCCTCCTGATTAATCTCTGTGTTATCAATAGGGCCAGCACATATTTAGAAAAGAGTCGTGGGGACAAGGCCAAGTTATTTTCCCCCTCTGTGTTTATGGAACACTTAAGAGGGCAACCATCTGGCAGTGTTAAGCATTAAAGTGCCCTTCAAGCTGTTTGCTTCTCTGGTGGCCCTGAAGATGCCTCAGGACTACTTTGTCTGCAGCCCAGAGTGCTCTTTGCTCCCAGGGCCCTTCTTCAGTCCCTGCAGACAGAGCAGGGTACTCAAGGTGGAGGCGTCAGGCAGTGACTGTGGCAGGACGCTGTTCAGAAGCAGTTAAGAGAGGTGGCAGAGTGTAGGGATTTGTTGCAGGTGGCTTGGAGGTCTTTGTGGTTTGGTTTTGGGGTTTGTTTCTTAAGAGGAACACAAACTGCAAAGGTGTTGAGGGTACCTCAGTGAGAACGGCTCTGCTGCGGCTCAGCAGCAGTGCTCACGCACAGGGGCTTGCAGGGGAGCGCTGTGCACCTCATCGTGTTTGCAGGTACCCCCGCACTGACTTGGGATGCACGAGGAGGTGATGCTCTCTCCGTTGCTGCTCTGCAGCCTTGAGTGGGTGCGAATGTTTCCCAGCGAGCCCCAGCCCTCTCCAGACCCTTGCCCTCACCTCCAGTGCCTCCCTGACAGGAGATGCCTTCAGAGCTGCTCCAGGTCATTTGTATCCCTCAGCAGAAGGCATGAAATACAAAAGAGGACTTCTCCCAGCAGTGCTCCATCAGTGAGGGGTCCCTCTGTCTCTGCTGTGCCTCCACTGACTGGCATCACCCGGCTGGATCCTTCCTGATTTACACCATGGGGAGAGAGGCCAGGGCCGGGCTGTGGAGCAGACCAGAGACATGACACAGAGAATTTGTGCCCTCTGCTTCATTTCCCATATTTTGGCAGTCGCCTTCTGTGAGATGTTTTCTGTTCTCGTTGCAAGATGCTGAAGCCAGATAGGAAGAGCCTTTGAATTGGGTCTTTGTGATGACTCTGTCTGGAGAGGAGCCAGGCAGCCGGACTAAGACATCTGAGTCTGCATTAACCCGTTTTCCCGGGGATGAATGGAGTCTCCTCGGTCAGGTGCTGTGCTCTCACACAGGAGGGTACGGGGGCTGTCACAGGGACCCACCGCAGCCACCCCCCTCCAGCCACTTTCCCCTGCAAGCTGCAGACCCATGGGATCGTTGCTCTTCCCTTGACTTGTTGGTAAATGTTTGTATGCATCGACATCAAGAATAAAAGCAGAGGATTAAGCTGCTAAGAGCTTTGCTGCAGTCATTAAGTTTAGGAGGATTTGAACAGGAAAGGTTTCATTCCAATTCCACTTGGAAGGAGGCAGCTTTTTTTTAAAAAAAAAACCCAAAACAACAACAACCCACAATAAACCAAACAAAAAAGAAAACACAAAGCAAAATCAAAAAGTCAGAGGTGAAAAACTTGCTTGGACTCATTGTAAGCTGCTGGAGAAATGTTTACTACACTCTGGGATGCTGAATAAATGCAGTCTTTTTCAAAAAGTTCTTACATAGGAGATAACACGTATTCCTAAAAGCGCTTAGTTAATTATTTTCCTAATGTTTCATTAATAATAATTTTAAAAGAAAGGGAGGGCAGTAACTTGTTTTCATCTCTCTGGGAGTGAGATATAAGGAGCACTTGAGAGAATGCAGTGGGTGAGGGGAAAAGACCAGGTTAAACTGAGGTGGTTTTATAGAAATGCTCTTTTTAAACCCCTCAACAGCTTTTTACTTTTCAAAAATTATCTTTTTTTTCTGTATTAACTGCTCATGCATCATAAATTCTAAACTCAGGCATGAAGTATTTTTCCCTATATGAATATATTTCTTTTTTTTCCCATTTCTCCCCTCCGCTGTTTGGCTGCTGAGACTGCACACCAAAACAGAACGTGCCGCCCATCTCGTGCCTTCAGCTCCTCTCCAGCCATAGCCTGCAACTTCCCCAAACTGATTTGGGGTTTGAATGTATTAAGTGCTTTCTTCTTTATCGACTGATGGTGAACATATCACCATTTGTGTTCCTTACTGGGCAGCCACGTCGTGAGCGCGGCAGCTCTGCTGCGATTTCAGCAGGATTATTGTTGCCTCCATGAAAAGGGTCGTACTGGGGCAGGAAATGCAGCAGAAGCAGATTGTTTAATATTTACAGGCTTTGTAATAGTTAAGGGAGAGTTTTGGCCGGTTCGTTTGCCCCTCTCCCACACGTGGCCCTCGGCTGCTCCGTCTCTTGCTCAAGCTGGAGCTGAGCAGCTGCCGAGGGGCTCCGGCTTTGCTGCGCTCCCGGCAGCAACTGGTGCAGGGCAGGACCCCACAGACACAGAACCAGCTGAAGCTGCTGGTGGATCCACCACCGGGCTGGGCAGCCTGTGCTGTTCCAAGGATCCAGCTCATTCCTGATTAAAGCAGCATCTGCTGCAGCTTAGAGAGCGAAGCTTTCAAAGAGCACCCTCCATTGCTGCTGCACGGCTGTGCCTGCGTTCGGGTGAAATCGCCTTGGTTTCTCTTGGTGAGCAAATAAGTGAGAGTTGGGTGGCTTCTTGGGCTTGGCAAATTTTAATGGGAAGGTAATGCTGTCCTTTGCTGAATATTCATGAGGAACTAATTTGTGCACATGTTTCCAGATTGTGCTTCAGTCTGGGTGGGTTTTTGTGTTGTTTTTTTGTCTTGGCTTGCTCTGTTCGACAGCCAACAAACTGTTAGAAGCCTTGGCTTGACAATCAGGAGGGATTTGTAGTTCATCCTTCTGCTTTTCAGTTATATGGTAATTAGTCAGAGTGGGAAATGATTGGCCAGCCCCCTTTCAGTGGCCAAAAAGTGCTGTTCTGCACTGTGCTGCTTTCTGCATGGCAGCAGTTGATTTGCAGCAGTGAGCCATGCTCCACATGCTGGTGTCCATCTCAGCCATCGTTCCTGATCCCCCTCAATCCCTGGAGAGAGGTCAAGGCTCCGCACCCCTGGGATGACCACGTGCCCCTGCCCATAGGTGATGGCTGAGGAGAAGGAGACACTCCCTGAAGGAGCTGCTGTCTGGCCTCTGAGCTGCTGCTGTCGAAAAGGCTTTTCCATTGCTCCCCCAGGCTTTTTCTTTCTTTTCACCTATCTTTTCCACTGCAGAGATGACTTTGTGCCGCAGGACGGGCTGTGACTTCCTGCAGGGTGCTGCCCATGCGAGCCGGAGGCAGAGCTGCTGCGTGGGTCCCAGTTTGTGGTCTTCCTGCGGCTGCAGGCTCGCAGTCCTGTGGCCATCAGCATAGGCACCACAGCCACCCACAGTGACGCTGCCTTTCCTGGCTGGCACCGTCCCTTGCTGTGCTGAGAAACCACCTCTGCACGCCACCTCCACGTGGACAGTTGAGCTCTTGTTGGTTGGGTTTGGAGTTAGGGCGATTTTTGGGACCTCTGAGATGCAAGAGGCCAGCAGCACAAGAGATGAGCAGCTGCCAGTGCTCCCGGTGCAGCCGTGTTTCACCGCACTTCTGTGGCCTTGGCGTTGGTGACTCCTCATTACAGAAATGAAAACAAGGCCATGTTCCTGGCTGCATTGGACGTGGCATCTAACGGCACAGAGAGACAATGCAGAAGTGTGACCTTATAGATGCGGTAGTTACCGCTTCACAAATGCTTTTGCTGCTCCGGGTTTGGATCCACTTATCAGCGCGTTAGTCACGAGGGTGGTGTTTTGTTTTGACAGTCCTTCCTGGCACCGGCTCCACAGCTGCAGTGCTGCTTAAATTAGGCTTCAGTCTCTGCTCCTTTGGATTCGACGTGGATCTCTTTGTTCTGAGGCACGAATTTGCTAACGTGGAGTTAGAGTATTGATATTGCAGAGGGTGATACCAGGAGATGCACTGAGTCTTGTCATGAGCCTGGGTGCTGACAGCAAGCTGGTCTTCCAGCACAGGCTTAGATGGCTATTGCCAGGGATGTGAGTGCCCGTGCCCTTCTCTGGCAGATGCCACCCATGATGAGTAATGTGGGAAGCTGTGCAAGCTTCGTGTGCTCCAGTAATCAGCCTGCGAGTGTCTCCCTGTGTGTGCCTGCCAGAAAATAACCTTTCTTCTTCCAAAGGCAAATGGCAGCACCTGCCATGGGCTGAGAAGAAGGCAGGTGGTTACGCGGGGGCTACCCATGCTGAGCCAAAGTGCCAGGTTTGGGACCTGCCGGGTGTCCCGCTGTGCAGGACATCCTGTTAGGCAGACTAAACAGTCCGTGCAGGTGGAATGGGAAAGCAAAACTTCATGGCAGGAGGACCGAGTGAAGAAAAAGGACTTTTATTTAGGAAATGCAGCTTCAAACTTTGCAGTCACTACTGAATTCATGAGGATAATAAATAGTATCCACCAGCTTGGCAGAGTCCATCTGCTCTGTTTCATGGTGGCATTGGTGTGTGTTTGCTTATTAATGAATTTCTGGGTGGGGGCATTTCAGAGCTTTTGGAAGGTAATTGTTGATACTATTAATTGCACAGGAGGTTGGGATTTCCTAACTCTGCTTTCCACTGTTTTGAGCTTTTGAAAACTTGGACAGAACATTTGGGCATCCTATACATACCCGGTAGTATGTATACGCTAGTCCTCTGCTGCTTGGACCTGGCATTGAGGCTGCTGCCTGGCTGGAATTTCCTTATTTTAGCGATTTAACTGCCTCTCAGCAATCACTGATGGCTCAGCTACCTCCTGACGTGGGTATTTGTCAACCTGGCTTCTACTCATGGTTGTTTCTTGATTGCCACAGTCCTCTGTGGTTTCACAGCCATTGCAAGGCATAAGCAAACAGGCAGGTCCTCTGCTCAGCTTCGTTCTAGGTTTTGTTCTCAAGTGCCTCTTTTTGTTCTCATTCTGGACGTTTTCCCTTTCAGGTTTGCTAGTGCAAACAACTATTTTTGTTACAGTGATTCCTTCACAAAGCTTTTTATCTTAACAAATTGGTCCATACTTCGTGTTTGCATGCCTGTGGTAGGCACGGTTGCTATGTGCAGTAGGTCAATAAGAACCAGACCATCTGCAGAACCAGACCTCCGAGAGGTGAAGTCTTCACATTGCGTTTTGTAAAACAGCTATGACAGAGGCAGTGTCCACTGGGCAGTAAAACTTGTGTAAGCTTTGTCTACGAGGTTTGTGATCTCTCTGTCCACCAGTGCTAAGAAAGAGACGATGACTTCCCTCCCACGTATTGCCCTTCTTGTCTTCTGCTTTTGTTCTGACGCTTGTCAGAAACACGTGATAAAAACTTCAAAACAGAAACTTGCCAGACTCCTAATAAATCTTTTCTTATCATAGATATGTCTGACACTAAAGTATTTGCCCAGTTGTCTCTGAAACATATGAACAGCACATTAGCAAGTGGTGAATAGGTTTTTGGTATGTCTCAAGTTTACTCGACATTGAAGAGATTGAGAGGGGAACAATACCTCATCGGAGGGGCTTTTGCCGCAAGGTTGACAGGACAAAATACTTCAAGTGCTTCTGCCACAAAGTATTGCCAGAGCTTGGTCTTGAGACATAACAAAATTCAGTGTAGGCAATGTACTGTGAATGGAAAGCAGCTGGGAACTGGACTCCTCTTCTGGTTGTGTTGACCAGAATTTTTTCAAGGGAAAACTGAATTGCACAAGAGATCTTGGTGTTGTGGCATGTTCTTACCTGGAAAATGCCAATAACTGGTTCTGCTTCAACTCTTGCATCTACAGGAAAGAAAGAAAAAGTTTGAGAAGGATGGTGAGAAGTTTTATTCTATGCTGGATCGCCATTTGCATTTGTCTTCCAAAAAGAAGGAATCCCAATTACAGGAGGTGTGTATGGAGTTTTCTTCGGTTGGGTCCAGAAGCAACAGCACCAGCTGCTCTAGATCTTAAAAAAGGGGGAGAAGTCACCCCTTACAGTAACCAGTTAAAACTGATAAGCAATTAAATCTACCTAAATCTTATTCACGTGGGTGAGACCAGGGATATCGAGTTGGTAGTCCACCATGAAGGGTCAAGCAGCTTTATGCATTGCTTGTTCTCACCCTTGGGAAATGGGTAATGACCAGTTAAACTGGCACAGCTGGGGATTTGCCACCCTTTCACCTGGCTTGGGGAACTGATCTGGCTGAAAAATAACTGCTTCTTATTACTTTTGCCAGCATAGTCTCCTGCCTGGCTCCTGGGGTTTGCAGGGGCAGCTGTGGCAGCAGGCAGAGGAGGAGGATGCCCCTTTGAGCTGGTGCTGCTGCCAAACATGTTACAACAAGAAAGGAAACCCCAGCTGTTCCAGCCCACATCAGAGTAGCTGCATCAAATGAGATCTGTCAAACCAGTTGTCAGATCAACCTACAAGCATCTTTGCAAGGCAAAATTTGTGTTAGCTGTGGTAAGATGGTATGCCACGTTGTCTTACCTGGTGCTGCAGCTCTGGAATTGCTGGTTTCAGGTCACAGCTGGAGTCAGGCAAGAAGATCATGACAGTGGCCTTGTCCTTGCTGGTGCAGGGCTGCAGGTGGAGAAGGAACTTATGCTGAAATAACAAATACACTTTGGGAAAGCCTTGTCCTTGCAGAGCAGGGTGATGTTCTGGGTCCATTAATTAAAAGGAGCCAGAAAAGGGCAGACCTGGGAAGAATGCTCCAGTCTTCTGCTTTTGTACAGTGTTCGAAACCTGGGCCAGACACCTTTGGCAGGCTTTTTCTTACGGAAGGACAGAACTATTTGTGAGCTGACAGACAAATGCTAGTCAAATATTGTCAAGCTGGATGTGATGTATTTTCTTTTCTCACCTCTCCCCTTTCTTCCAGGCTGACCTTCAAGTTGACAAAGAGAGACACAATTTCTTTGAGTCCTCCCTCGAGTATGTGTACCAGATCCAGGAAGTGCAAGAAAGCAAGAAATTCAGTATTGTGGAACCGGTAGGAGCTTCCTTTTCTTTCAGGCCTTGCTCTTTGATGCTCAGATATGCTAACTTGCTGATAGTTGCAGGAAGGGATGAGTTACCAAGCTGGATTTGGTCCTGGGGAGTCTTGTGACACAGCAGGAGTTAACCTTGCACACTTGGACTGCCGCAGCTTAACAGCCTTAGTGGTTTTTGCTGGAGCACTGTGAAGCCACAAACTTGTTCCTCATGTCTGTAAGTCGATCCTGAGGAACAAGCTGGATGCAGTAGGTAGCTAGAGGTCTTGTTATGAATTATCTTGGATACTTTGTGTTTGGTAAGCAGACTGTCTTCAGAGGGAGAGGGTTATTATCTGCCCCGCTTACCTGCCACAGCACAGGCTGCCGTGGTAACAACTCATGGCTGTGTACAGGGACCCTGCCAATGTGAGTGGCTCTGCCTTGACGCCAGACAGGGTTGAGCGTGGGATGGTGTAGGTCTCATGGAAAAGCAGTCTGCAGATCTGCTCTTGTTCTCTCTGCAGGGTCTTTTATTTCGGGTGTGTTTTATTAAGATAGAGGCGTGGGTGGTAGACCTGGGCTTTAGGGACACTGTGGTGGATAAGTCATACCAAGACTTGCATCGCTCCAAAATTGTAAGAAAAAGAATAAATTTGTATATGTAATTTCTGAAACCCCACTTCCTGTCTATCTTTTCTGTGATTAGAAATATAGAAGGTTAATCGGTGTCCTTTCCCTCCTGTGCAGGTGCTGGCTTTTCTCCACAGCCTCTTTACTTACAACAACCTGACAGTTGAGCTCACGCAGGATTTCCTCCCCTACAAACAGCAGCTTCAGCTCAGCCTGCAGAATGTAAGTTCCTGCCCAGCTGAAGTATTTGTTGCATGTGATTTCTATTCTCATTTGTATTTAAACGCCTCTGGTGGCAAGGCTTTTCCATGCAAAACAGACCGTCCACGTTTGCATTGTGGGAGGTGCAGATAAGGTTATTTCCTTCTCAGTTCACATGGATTTTCTCCTCTCCTGCACAAGAGAATCTGCAAGTGCTATTACAGTGTTTGTCTAGAAGGGCCTATTGCAATTGTATCCTTTAGCCTTGTGCATAAACAAGCCTGAGAATTTCTTCCAATTTCATGTGATCGAAATTGTACACGTCTTCTAAAAAGGCCTCCAATCTTGATCTTAGTGGTATCAGCTTACTACAAGCTTTGGTAAGCTCCTCCGCTGGCTAAGTATACTCATGGAGTAAAATATCTGTGTCCTGTTTCTATAATCCTCAGTCTTTCATGGCCGGCTCTCGTTCCTGTGGAACAACAGCCATACTTCTGTGCCAAGCCCCGTTTGCTGCTGGCTCATGAATTGGTCTAAACGGTGTTCCATAAATGTCATTTTATGGCGTTCCCTAAAAAACGCCTTGATTCTGTACCCTGTGTTGACATGACTCTTTAAAAGTGATTTCGTGCCAAGCAGTGTAGTATGATCTTTTGAGGTGAGGAATCAATGCCTTAGTTTTATAGGAGAATACACTTGTTACCTACGCAGTGTTGCAGAAGGGAGTTCAAGTGCTTCCTTCTGCTCCATTCAGCCTTAAAATGAACCAGATTTCTGTTATTGAAAGAACAAGTGTCCTCCCAGTCATGACTCCTCAGCACCATTTCCATGTATGGTATGTTAAACCTTGTCTCTTCAGTCATCTTTAAGAGCCCAGTGTTCTTATAGCCAGAGTTTTGATGTAGATCTGTGGAGTGGCTTCTGTATTTTGTATATTGAGGACCCATTCGTTTCTGCCAGACGACCTGAAGTTTGCCCTTTGTTTGTGTTGAAACAAGCTTTGTTTTGTTTTCTCTTAACAGACAAGGAATCATTTTTCCAGCACACGGGAGGAGCTGGAAGACCTGAAGAAAAGGATGAAGGAAGCCCCCCTAACCTGCAAGCTACCTGGGCAGCCGACCATTGAGGGCTATCTTTACACTCAGGAGAAATGTAATGGCTTCTATATGCACCTGAATGCATTCAAGAGCGCGTGAGCCTGGGGTGCTCTGCTCACAGCCCTGCTGTGTGGGCTGCGTTTGGCTCCCATGGCCAGGCCGGCTGCAGCTGCAGCATCGCTGTGGGCTGTGCTGCTGGGGCATCACCGCCGGCCAGTGCCTGAGGTGCCTGGGGAATCACGGCAGCTTTAATTGTGCCACCCTGAGAAATCTGGCAGAGCGTTCTCTGAGTTACGTGAGCCTTGTAAGCAAGGAGCTAATTGCCCTGTGCTCAAATTAGATGAGATTTATTGCCCTGTTGTAGCGCTGGAGAGACTGGAGCTCTGGCAGATTGCACCTTGGCTGTGTTTTATCAGAACAAATCTGGTGTCCTGCCCAGCTTCCCTCTTGCAGCGTCTTTGAGGGCATCTGAGCACAGCTGAAGTGTTAACCAGCGATGAGAGCAAAATTTGGTGTAATTCTCTGCGGAATCAAATCAACCCAAATTCAGTCGTTTATTCATTTTCACTGTAGCTTTACTCGACCATGCAAGCATGAACACTCAGGGGCCAAAAGCCTATATGCAGAGCTGTGGCCTCTGAGTCTGCAGACAACTTACTTTGTGAGAAGTTAATTTTTGGGTTATATATACAAATGTGTTTATACATATATTTGTATGTGTGATTATCCTGCTTTTAAAAGGAAACACATAGACAATAATTTTAGACCACAAACAAATGTTGCATGTTCCTGCATGCCCATAAAGGTTTGCTGCCTCTATTTATGTTTCCCCTGTAAATCGAGTGCAAAGAAACTTGTTCTTATTGACACTGCAACTTAAAAAAAAACTTACAGAAAAAAATATCAGCTTAAATGTTTCGTATGAAAGGGTTTAGGTAAGACAACAAAGTGACAATAAATCTGGAGTGATATAAATAGGAACTTTAGAGTGTTTTAAAGATGCTGTTGTCTTTACTGCCAAGTTTTCATCAATAGGAAAAAATAGTGCTGTCTGTGTGAAACGAGCATTCAAGACACGTAGGATCCTGTCAGTGTAGGTCTTGGCTGGACTTGGCCAAACCAACTTGGCTCATGACCAGAGTCCCACAAACGCCCTTTCACCAGCACTGTTTTCGGAGGGCACTGAAGGCAGCCGCTGCCTCTCTTCCTCCTGGCTCTTGCCAGTGGAGACACTGGTGCAGGAGGTGTCCCTGGTGCGGGTGGTGTCCTGGGGGGGCCGGTGGTGACTGTCCCTAGAGGAGCACAGGTGTGGGAAGCGCTGGCCGTACCCTGCTGGCTATGTCCCAACAAGGCGCTATCTCTGACTCCAGTTTCCTGTGTCTTTCTGCAGGGGCACTGGGCATCTCCTGGGTGAAATATTACTGCCAGTATGAAAAAGAGGCAAAAACCTTACGGATGACACCCATGGACCAGAAGCCTGGAGCTAAGCAAGTGAGTTGGTTTCTTGGAGGGATGTCTGCAACCATTGACCCAGCCGTCAGGTCTCACCTTCAATCCGCCCACATCATCTCTTTCTGTAAGCAAGTAGATGTACGAATGCCACATCCAGGGCAGCAGAGGCCAGCCCTGCTGTTGGAAGCATTCATCTGGCAGTGCTGGTCCTCAGGATATACCAGTAGCAAGCTGGGTCCTGAAAGGGCTACTAGCCACAGAGCAGAGGAGTAGTTTTCGTGTCCCCTCCATGCCTGTCTGCACAGGCAGGTGGTTTGGTGCACCCTGATAGGAGCACTTCTGTGAAGAGAAGTTTCACCTCCCTCTCTCCCAGTGACCTGAGGCCTCGCAGGGTTTGGCAGCGGAGAATGGGCTTGTGTAACCTGAGCGTTATTTGGACAGCAGTGACTTGTGAGTTTGGTCTAGTATGAGATTTTTATTTTTCTATTTATCCATGCAAATGGGCAATGAACCTGCAGCCTGGTTTGCACAGAGCCCTCTGGTAGTGATTGCAAGTACTTGAACTACTCAAGTTATTAGATGAGTGCTTCCAAAAGCTGTATTTCTCTGCCTCTGCATGTTTGCACAGTCACTGGTTTGTGATTTTGATTTATGTTCTTTGAGTGGGACCGGTGTTAGAAGAGGAGGAGGAGGCAGTGGTTACATCTCTAAACTTCAATAAGGCAACAATTTGGGGAACTGCTTCTTTCACAGAATCACAGAATCTTAGGAGTTGGAAGGGACCTCGAAAGATCATCCAGTCCAACCCCTGCCAGAGCAGGATCACCCAGACCAGGACACACAGGAACACATCCAGGCCGGTTTTGAATGTCTGCAGAGAAGGAGACTCCACAACCTCTCTGGGCAGCCTGCTCAGTGCTCTGTAACCCTTACAGTAAATAAGTTTTTCCTTGTGTTCAGATTGAACCTCCTATGCTCCAGCTTGCTCCCATTGCCCCTTGTCCTGTCATTGGCTGTCACTGAGAAGAGCCTGGCTCCTTCCTCCTGACACTCGCCCTTTGCAATTTTATAAACATGAATGAGGTCTCCCCTCAGTCTCCTCTTCTCCAAGCTAACGAGACCCAGCTCCTTCAGCCGCTCCTCATAAGGGAGATGCTCCATTTCACAAAATGCTTTGGTTTTTAGCAGTGTCTGAGAATTCCCTGCAGTTCCTCAGCGTGACAGAGGGGTAGGATGCAGGCGTGGATGACACGGACGATAGCTCAGAGTACAGAAAGTGCGTCCAGCTGAGTCCACCCGCCCTCCTCTGCCATGGAGTGACATCCCCCAGGGCCTTCCCAGTCAGGCGTGCTGTTCTCCAGTTCGTGATCTCATGGTCTGTTCTTTGGCAGCCCTCTGCATGCTGCAGCAATAAAACAAAATGTATTTTTTGGAAGCCCTTGGCAGAGACATTGGCAAAGAGATGTCTAAACCATTGACTGGAGAGATCTATAGTTATCTCTGCCATAAACATGTCTAGTAAGAGTAATTAATGCAGGTAGGGGCTTGTAAAAATGTAAATTAATCCCTTTCCCAAACTCTTGCAGTCTGGTAATTGCACCATCAGGTCACAGCTGGCCACACAGCTTCAAATGCCATAATTACAAGCAGTGCTCTTAAAAGCCCCAAAACAACCAGCACACACACAAAACACAGCCAGGAGGTTACCATCACAGCATGTAAGGCAGATGTGATCTCAGAGGAGGCTGTCCTTGCCACCAGGCTGTCCTGGCTCTGCTTGATCCGCTGCTGTCAGAGCTCTTGCAGACACAGCGGTGCTGGCGGTCAGGGTGATGAATGTGGTCCAGGTTTGTGGTCTCAGTGCTAGGGTCTGATTGGTTGTAAGGTCACCTGGGTGCCTTCAGAGTTCCTGCAAAGGTGTGGTGATCTCACAGTCATGTTACAAATTCACTTTGCCGTAGGGTCAGTTAATGCCCCTTTATTAAGGGGCACGAACACAGGGGGCCAGGGCTGAGCCTTGCAGTGCCAGCCTCTGTTCAGGGTGCATTTACTCTATTAACTTTCTTTTTTGAACCAGGTCTTTTGTGTAAAGCTGATTGGACTGTGAATGCTAGGGATAATTGGTAGCAGTGATTAACTCTGATAAAAATTAGGACCCAACTGTGTCAGATAACAGACATGCATGGTCCTGGCCTCAAAAACCAAGCGACTGCCTGGTGAGGTTAGTTTATAGCCACGTTCTTGCTCTGTGGAGGCACATTGCTTATTGCCAAGGTGCATAACACTTGTTTACGGAGTAGTGCCATGAAGTCCAGAACATTTTGTGGCTGAGGAGAGGAAGCCTGATTCACAAAACCTTTGATCTCTCTCTGTGTTGATGGTGGCAAGGGACTGTCTGTGTTCCTGGTACTCAGGAGCTGCCCAGGGAGGTGGTGGAGTCACCATCCCTGGATGTATTTAAAGAGCGGGTAGATGAGGTACTTAAGGATATGGTTTAGGGGGTAGACAGGAACGGTTGGACGTGATGATCTCAGAGGGCTTTTCCAACCGAGCGATTCTGTGATTCTGTGATTCAATGCCATCGCATTGGCAGGGCACATGCCAGGAGCCTGGTGCTTTGTGGACAGTGCCATGCTGGACTGCAGCCTAAGGGTGCTGAGGAACCCAAAATCTTCTGTGTTTCTTTCATCTAATCTTGGCTTTCATTTTCTCTCCTAGGGCACCTTGGACCTGACACTGAAATCCTGCGTAAGGAGGAAGACTGACTCTATAGACAAAAGGTTTTGCTTTGACATTGAAACTAATGAAAGGTAAGATGCTTAGTGTGCAAATGGCCTCCAAACCCTGTAAACCTGGATGAAATTGATCTCTGCTGTTTATTAAAAACAACTTTTGCTTCGTTTTCCTGCCTTTCCTTGGGTGAACTCTGCGCAGGTCTGGGACCATCACGCTGCAAGCGCTCTCGGAAGCAAATCGCAGGCTGTGGATGGAAGCCATGGACGGGAAGGAGCCGGTAAGCATTCAGGGAGCTGCTGCCCAGCCCTAAATGTGCTGCCGAGCAGTGTCCTCTGCCGGCGGGTCCCAGGGAAGAGCAGTGCCACAGCCGCTGGCGAGCTCCTTTGTGCTGCTCTCATCTCACTGCTCTTGCTTGCAGAGCAATTACAATTCAGGCAGAGGTTCAGCCACAGCCCGTCTGAAGTGGGGTTTCGTGCTGCTCTGCGCAGTACAGCTTGGAATGGGGATTTTGGTGTTCCCCCTTTAAAGCTCTGGTGCATTCCCAAGCACATGCTGTTTATTATTAATGAAAAATACAAAATTTGTTTTCGCATGGGATGAATAAATGTCTTGACACTTGAATTTTTAAAAGCAAGCAAACAAACAAAATCTCACAACCCCTGTGTGCCAGACTGTCCAGCTGCCATTTTTACGGGGCACCTAAAGGACAAAGTTTTCTGTTCAGGTTTTGGGAGACTTCTTTCCTAGAAATAGGTGCTCCAGTGAAATGTAGGAAGTCAGCAACACCTCTTTTATTGTGTAGATAATGGTATCTTGCTTAATCATAAAATGACATTTCCTTGGGATATTGCCGTAATGTCTGTGATTGGCTTTGGGTGATTTATGGGATGCTGCATTTTCTTTTTCAAAATAAATATTCAACCATGTTGCATTATATTTTTGCTTATTCCTCCTCCATGCCCTCCTTTTTTTCAGATCTATCACAGTCCCATCACCAAACAGGAAGAAAGTGAGTCATTTCTATTGCTGTTCTCTGAGCTGTCAAAGCTTTCTGGAGGTCGGGCAGTGTGTTTCCTTGCAGATACACACAGCCTCGATTTCTGCCAAATAGACTCTGTTCTCCCTCCATGGCAGCAATGTAACTTCTTTCCTTTTCATCACAGTGTCTGGTACTGAGACCAGAACGAATTGCAAACTGTAGAGGTTATCAATTGGAACGTGCAGTTGTTATTTAGCAAGAACTAGCGAGATGTGGAGTTCATTTTGCACCTTTAAACCCTAAAACAACAGAGGGGAAAAAAGATCAGTGAGAGATTTTGAGGACATTTCTCTTAGAAAAGACTGTAATGGGAAAATGGAGGTGTTATTGAGTTCCCTGGAGCCCCCATCCCACCACCTTGTGCTGTCACACACAGGGTGTGCCTTGCCCACCTCCCTGCTTCTCCTTTTCCTTCCCCCTTTGACAGCTGTCACTGCAGTGGCCTTGGAAAATTCTGGGCCTTCCCTAACTGCATGAAAACTTGCATTCTGTATCTTAGAGCTTCCTTTTATCAGCACTTTAATTAGCTGACTTTAATGAACATAGAGGTAGCAGAGGCATAAGCATGAAACCTTTTGTTTGACTGTTTGCATTACACGCCTGGAAAGAGTTTTCGACTCAGCTTTTCACACAAGTAAATACAATCTATTTTTTAACAGATTACAGCTGGAAAGCCTTCAAGTCTTGTTATACCACACAGTACCAAGTGAATCTGTGCTTAACGGTGTCTTTACTTGTTCCTGTGTTAGAGCTATGATACATCTGAGCTTTTCATCACCGTTGCTCAGAGAGGAGAGAATTGTTACAAACAACTTGCTGAAAATACAGCGATTTCATAGGAGTCACCAACACGGCCTGTGCTGTGACTGGAGTTGGTCCAGATGTGTCTTGTGGCTGTTTTTTCAAGTAAAATGTTAATTTATGTTAAAAAAAATAATCAACCAACCATGCACTTCTCCCCCCCCTCCAAAAAAAACCCCAAATCAACCCAAAACCAAAACCAAACAACAACATTATGGTCATTTGGGAGAAATTCAATATAAATGTTTGCACTGAACAGAAAGATATTTTGCTTTATAACTTTGACAATTCTTCCATATATCCCAGAAAAATAGCAGTAGTAGTAGTAGTGCAATTACAGCAGTTGAAATATGCGTGTAGAAAAAATTCCTGACTTTCTGCCTGCTTCACGGTGCCTGCGAACAGGCACAGAGACAGGCTGAGGTTAATTGGCTGGAACAAAAACCTGTGTTCTGCTTTACTCAGCACATCAAGCTGTATTGTTTTTGCTTTTTAATCTAGTCAAGCAGATAAGCAGAAATTACATGATCCTATGGTGTGGAAGAGCTCTAACTGCAGATTTTGCAGCGCTCTGGAAATGATTAATCAACTCCTTTATCAAACACAAGTTCTCATGTGGCGGGACTCTGATTTACGCTTTTATTCTTGAAGACAGAAGGGGGGTAGGGAGCAGTGCTGCAACTCAAAATAGACTCAAGGAAAAATGGAGAACATATGGAACTAATAAATCCTTGTCAGGATTTAAAGAATTCCTGTGTTTTCATGGAGTGATGCGCACGATGCAGATGCATGTGTGAAAGTGACTGGTGCCGGGGCACTGCAGCTTTGTGTGCCGAGTTGGGTCTGGAGCCTTCCCTGTGGTTTTCCATGGGGAGCCATGGGGCAGAGCTTGGGCAGCTGTAACACTGCTTCCCTTCCTTCAAACAGTGGAGCTGAACGAAGTTGGCTTCAAGTTCGTACGGAAGTGCATCAACGCAGTGGAAACGAAAGGTGAGTGCTCCAGGAGAGATGTTCCACTAGATGGGGCCTTTGGACTTCTCACCAGCTGGAGAGGACCCTTGGCTAATGCTGTCTGGCTTTCTCCTGCTTAGGGATTACTACGGAGGGCGTCTACCGGACTGTTGGCAGCAATATTCAGGTGCAGAAGTTGCTGAATGCCTTTTTTGGTAAGAATTAATTATTCCATGCAACTGAATTGTCCTGGTTTTGTATTGTTTAAGAGGGACACAGAGGGTTTCACAGTGAGAAATGTCCAGCATGGGTTTTGGTCCCTGAAGCCTCTGTGAGGCACATCTTCCCCTTCTTTTCTGGGCTTTTTTCTGTAACCCACTCTAGTGCTTCTTCCTTTAAACTTGATTTATTTGTTGGTGGTGCAACTTGCATTTTAAATAAAGTGAGCAGCCGCAAGATAAAGCAGGGCAGTGACCCTGGAGCAGTGGGGACAAGCCTTCCCCCATCCTGTGCTAAAAATATTCAGGCATTTTGGAGCCACGTGCTGCGGACACATTCCTGCCAAGGAGAGATGAGCCCTCGCCCTCTCCTCTGCTGCTTGCAGCCCCTCATTTCTGCTGTAAACCTTTCTGTGTATTTCATACAAACCCATAGATCAGTGAGTAGTGGTGGGTAGTCTTTAGACTCCCTGCAGCAGGTTATGGAGCTCAACAGCATTGCTCTGTGCTGGGACAGATGTTCCCAGGCTGGGACCTGCCTGAGGCCATCGTGTCTACTCCCTGATACACGGGGGCCAGGGCAGGCTGCGCGCCCCTTAAGTGAGCCCCAAGGGGCTGGAGCACAGGGCAGAAAATACGCTTGCAATGATACCTGCTTGCCTTGGGCTCACACCAGCTCCCTGCACAGACATCTGATATTGATGCAGTATTCAAAGGCCTTTACTAGTGTTTATTAAAACGGCTAGTTTGTACTGACATACAACTGTACCCAATTCCCATGGAGCCATGACTTCTGCAGTTACACTTGCCTGGTGACTCATTCCTAAGCCTAATTTTTTATGGCTTCTTGATTCTCACCCTCCCTGTGAGTAGGTCTGTGGGTTTTGCATCTGAGCACTACCAGTGAGTGGCTTTTTGTTACTGAATTATTTATTGTTATTGAATTTGTTATAGGCATTGGTCTGGTTGACCACTTGCCACCCCGCTGTGTACAAACTCAGGATGAGAAGTCCAGCAACACAGAAATAACTGCAGAAGGATTTCATCCTCAGCTTCAATAAAGAGATTGATAGTTGTGGGGGGTTTCTGACTTTAGTCCTGTTTAGTGTTTTTAAATAAATAATGCAGTTTATTTATCTAATCCAGCTGCCCCCCATACTCCAACTGTGTCCTTTACTTCATCGTACCACAGACATGATGTGGTTGTTTGATGAGGGTAGACAGGAGCAAAGTGTACTTCCACGCTGCTGTGCCTCTCCTCTGAGCTCCCTCCTCTCCATGCCCTGAGAGTGAATGTTTCCAGAACAGCCTTCAGGGGAGTAGCTGTGAAGGAGGGCTTGGAGCTGGACACTTAGATTACTTTGGATATTGGAAAGCTTGTATTGGACCTGTAGAAATGTGTTGTTTCTGCCAGTTTTGGCTGTGCTGGGAAAAAAACAAACAGTAGAGAATATGCCCTCGCTAGCTTTTCACCACTGCTTAAATGTTATCTTCTGCTTCTTCCTTTGTATTCTTCCTTCCTAGTTAGCACTGCGCCTCAGCCTTTCCAAAATATGCTGTTTGGCTTTTCCCACCTGGGAGAATCAGCAGCTTTCTTCATGTGCTGCTGTAGCTTTGTTTGTCTCAAGAGGGTACCCTCCCTCAGAGCGTGCAGTTTATTAACAACCTCAAAACAGACCCTATTTTAAAGCCAGTTTGTTCTTCCAGATCAAAAATGTCCAGGGGACGTGGATCTCCAGAGCGGCGACTGGGACATCAAGACGATTACCAGCTCACTGAAGTTTTATCTCAGGTAGCACTGCAGGTCCTGCCTGCCCTGGGTGGGCAAAGGAGCTTGAGGCTGATTCGGGCAAAAAGCAGAGTGAACTGCCAGATGTTCACATCTGCCTGTTGGAAAGGGCAAAGAAGTAACAAAGGCTTTGGGAAGAGGAATGGGTGTTTTAATATTTTATTATCTTTTGAGAAATATGCCTTTAGTAGAAATGCCACGTCGTATGGGGCAAGTTTAAATAGCACTAAGGGGAGATGCTGCTGGGAACTGATGGTGCTGAAGGGCCAGCATGTCCTTCAGGATCAGTTGTGAGTGGGTTGTGCTGCCCTGCCCCTGCTCAGTTTTCTTTCTGGTTATTGCAGGAACCTGTCTGAGCCCGTCATGACGTACAAGCTCCACAAAGAGCTGGTCCTGGCTGCCAGTAAGTCCCACGACTGCCCTGCCGATGGTCCCTAGCCCTGCCCTCCCCAACCGCTGCACATCACATCACTTGGCAGAGCTCTGCCAGCCTGACACTGGGGTGTCTGGCCGCTTGCCCCCATAGAAAGAGGAGTGACCCTCTCTTCTGGGTGTTGAATTTTGCAAGGGAGGTGGTGGTATTTCTTCCCTTCCTTCCTTTGCTGTTGCAGTGCTCTTCCCTCTAACAGGGTTTCATGATCTCGGAGGGTCTGGAGAGCCAGGGTGTATCAACTAACATGAAATAAGCACAAGTGTCCAGAAGAATTGTTTCTCAATAGTATTAATATATTTATTTTAAAACCTGTGAGGGAATGGGATGCGCTGTTGCCATGCATATAGATAGGTGCTCCCGTTAGGTGGTGAAATTTGTTCTGGGATGTTGAATCCGAAGTGTCTACCCATACATGAAAGACATTTTTCTGCTGCAACTCTTGAGACTGAGCCACAGTCAGTATTAATGCAGATTAGCTAAGTAACATGACTGTACTTGCAGGGCATTGCCTGTGCTAAACTGGCCAGTACTCAGCTGTCCTGCTGTTGTGGCCATTTCAAATAAGCCATAATAATTCTGAACTGAATCCTCAGAGCAAATTGTGAGCCGGCATGCTGAGATGGAGACTAGAAGGGTACCAGGGAGTTGGTCATCTCCCTCAGCATGAGAGTACTGGCATTTGGAAATTTATGGCACACTTGGACGCATTTTGGATGAAAGCATCCGTCACACCCCCGTACCTCCTGAAAGCCAATGGGAGGGTAGGAGGGCACCCACCTCTCCTCAGTTTGAACCTCTGGAGAAGCAGTGACGCTTGTTCTTTCTTGGAAAGGAAAATTTTCCACCACCTACTGATTGTGCTCAAGCCCAAGATTTATTAGTTTCTGAACAGGTAAAACCAAGGCTGGCTGGGTATGTGCAAAACCATAATCCCTTCCCTATGCTCCCTCAGAAACTTGCTTCATTAAGCTTCCCAGCTACCAAGATCCCACAGTATTCTTTTTATACCAAGTATTTTATTGGTTTTTTGGTTATTTGTGCTTCTGAGGGTCACCTCTTTGGGTCAGGGACTCCTTTTTTTCCCTGCAGGACATTTTACTGCGTTGTTCAATGTTACAGCTATCTGAGCTGTTAAGATACCCAGCAGAGAGGCCGTGTGTTCCCCGGGTGTGTGGGACGAGGGTTTGAAGGGGAGTACCCGGCTGTGCCCAGCCTGTTCCTCCAGCCGTGCTCAGAGGCAGAGTCCTGCCCTGAGCTCCCTTTCAAGCTTCATTTCTCTCCCTTTCCACTTCATTTTGTTTCTCACAATGATTACCTTGTTGCTATGTAATCTGATTTTCCTTCTGCTTCCCATCGCTGGGTTTGGCCAGCCAGCTCTGCGTTGCAGAAGGAACAGCTCCCACAGATTTTCTTTGGCTTATCTTTTTTCTTACGTATTTACTTTGCAACTGGTGGGCACAAACTTCTCTTTGTGTTACTTCTTTCCAGAATCTGAGAACCTGGATTACAGGTTGGGAGCCATTCATGCACTGGTCTATAAGCTACCTGACAAGAACAGAGAGATGTTAGAGCTCCTCATACAACACCTCGTCAAGTAAGCAGACATTTTTCTCTAAAGCCAAAACCAAGGGAATAATGTAATCAGCAGAACAAGCCTCTTTTTTGTAGCAGGTTTGCTAAATTGTATCCACCACAGTCCCTCTAGGAATTTGTGCTTGGACTGCGCAAATGGTATGATTATCCTAGCTAGCCGCTGCATTAAGTGGTGCTTCTCTTTCTACTTGCCACTTTAATCCCCTTTCTGACAAGCACCAAGCAAAAAATAATTTTTAAATTAAAACACTGTCTGACAGCAGAGCTGTAAATTGTCACTTCTCACTCCAGTTAACACAAAGTTTAGGTCTGGGGTTTGTGAACGGCTGTAGGACCTGTGCTCATGGGCTGAACTTGAAGTATGCTTTGGTTTTATCTCCAGCTCCATCGAGTCAAATGTCCTAAGCCCGTAAAGCAGCATGAAGGCTTGAGCATGTCAGTCTCTGCTCTCATACAGGCGTGCTGGATGCTTGGTGGCTCTATGCACCACTGCTTCCACGTGCTTCCACCAGTGAGGCACTGGAAAAGTCTGTTACTTGATGATGATGGCACCAGCACTGCACTGGGAAACGGGGATTTTTCTGCCTTCTTGTCACACTGAGTGCGGAGGCTCAGTGTGGAAGCTCTACCCTCTCTATAGGAATGCAGCAGGGGAAAAGCTTGTGATGAGCCGTGGTGAAGCTCAAAAGCAAGGGAGCAATCAGTGTGTGGGTCAGAAAGGACCAGGGCTTGCAGAAGTAATGGCTTTTGTATGACAGGGCTTGCTTTGGGCTTTTGGAAAAATCATTTTCAAAATTGGGCTGTTTCAGAATTAAGCAGGGCTGCTCTGGGATTGTCACACTCGGACACTCGAACGTGAGTGCTTGGCCCTCGGTGCCATGCACTCTCTTTGAGGCAAGGAGGATCCTGTCTGCCATCCGCTTTCAGCCTTTCATGCCTGTGTTTGTGTGGTTTTCAGAAACCTTTCTACATAAGTGGCAGAGCTGAGAGTGTCTGGCATGGAGTCCAGTGAAGTTACCGCTTTACTTGTGCTCATTGTGTTTATTCCTTAATATGTCTACACTTAAATTCTGTTCCATTTCCCCCTCGTGCTGACAGAAACCTCTTTAACACCAGAGCTATGGGGCAAACCCAGAATTTGTTATGTGTCAGCATCAGAGTCTCTCTCCTCTGGTCCTATTCTGGAAGCAGATCTAGGTGGTGAGTGCCTCAGTCAGCAACTGGGGCTGCTCCACAGGCTTGTACATTCCTCTGAAGTGTGAAGGCTGGACAGAGCTCTATTCTGTGAAAACAGTGGTTCTTGCAGAAAGAAGATGCTGTGTAGAGATTTACTGAAAACCTTCAAAGTGTGCTCGCTACATTCAGTCCTCCTCCTTCAGGGAGAGGAAAAATTAAAGCCAAAAGTCAGTTCTGGATGAATAGGATATTCCAATTCAAATGATTCCTTTTGAGTGTGTGTTGCACAGATGAATTTTGCAGAGTTAAAAGAGGAGCTAAGAGTGGGAAGGGATCAAATGAAAAAGCTATGAGCATGTTGCTCTCCAAAACAGTTGTTCTAGCCAAACGTGCATGTCGCAGCTAGAAACGTGTTTTATCTCTGGTAGGTCTGGGAAACAAATTCTGCTGAAACAAAATGAAGAAAAAGGAATGACTGATTTTTACTGTGTTCTTTTTTATTGTTCGGAATAAGATCTGCTTGGGAAAAAAAACCAAACCAAAACAAACCCTATTCCTTCTTTCCCTCCTCTCCGCAGCGTATGTGAACACAGCCGAGAGAATCTGATGTCACCGTCCAACATGGGGGTGATATTTGGACCTACCCTAATGCGAGCACAGGAGGACACCGTGGCAGCAATGATGAACATCAAGTTCCAGAACATCGTGGTTGAGATCCTCATCGAGCACTTTGGGAAGGTATGGACGACAGCCCTGGGAGCACCTCCATGCAGCTCCTGACTGCTCCATCACGATCCTGCAAGCTGTTGCTGTGGCAACGATGTGGAGCTCTGGCTCCTTTTTCTGGGGTTTCCTTAGGGGCTGGGGTTTGGAATTTTTTATAATATACTGTTCTGAATTGCTTCAGAAGGAAACAAAAAGTGTAGCGGATAGGTTCCTCACTCTTGCCTTTAGCTAGTTCCAAAGAAAACTCTGGGTCTACAGATTTTTGCTTTTCTTTTTAAATAAGAGGAATCTTTATTGAAAAAAACCTAATCTGTTCTATGCCTGGACATTAAAGGACTTTACATTTTCCTTTGTTGAAGGCAGGAGCTAGGCCAGAGCTGCTTTTTGTCTCCTGATGGAAAGCAGAATATTCCACTGTCTCCTGTGTTAGTGCTTTCTCCTCATGGTGTCTCATAAAAAGCCTTAGGGTCTTCTCAGTGGCTGGAGAATAACAGAGCTGAATGTTAATATTTGCAAACTTGAGCGGTGTTTACATTGAAAGCAATGCATCAGGGACTAGATTGCTTTCCTGATAACAGCACTAGGTTCAAAGGAGTGAGTTTGGTCCTTCAGCTTTTCATCATACTTTACATTACAATGTCCAAACAATCTGTTATGCCCTAAAGGAGGGGAAGGTTTGAAGCCATCCTCTAAGGGATGTTATTTGCTCTGAGGAGATTGAGGTAGCACTCTCAGCAGTCAGCACAGCACACGTGCAGAACTGGATCTCCCTTTTCAGGAAAGGAAGGGGAGGTTGAAACTGAAAGAGCAAGGTTCTTGCAAAAGCGGATGTGGAGTCGGAGCAACCAAACAGGGATCGGATGGGTGGTGTTGGAGTTGGTTGTGGTACCAAGGATTGAAACCAGAGAAACAGGATGAGAGAGCTCAGAGAGACTTTTCAGTATCCACACAAGAAGCTCCTGAAAACACAAGCTAGCTTCTTTGTAGGTCTCTGAACACTTTTAATAAGTTTCCTGCAACAAAACAGTGAATCATTTGTGTGTTGTGATCCCCACACTTCTTGCTCCAGAACTGAGCCTCCATCCTCCCCTCTACACAGCCAGCAGTGCAGGCTGAGTCAACACACTGCCACCTCTAAGAGCTGGAATTCAGTCTTTAATTAAGCTGGACGTCTCTTTGCTTGCTTTTAATTTCTTCAGTGATAAGGTTAAGTCAGTAACATTTATTAGATTGAGCTTGTAAGTTCAGCGGCAGAGTTGAAAGTGTCTTCAGCTCACACATGAGCAAATACTCTAAATGAATCTGGAGGAAGAGTGGGATATGGTTTATGTGATGCAATATGGATTAAGGACAAAGTAACTGTTCATGAAGTCTTTGTGGATAATTACTGTTTCCACAGCTTATACTTCAGTGCTACGGTTAAATTAAATCCGTTGATTGCTCTGATAACACCTTCTTCACTGTACAAACCTTCTAAATATGAGGGTCTGTCAATATCTTTGTACTTTCAAGTTGTTTAACTTGGATTTTCATTTAGAAGGCAGAAGCAAAGCAGAGGCTGCACCCACATCTTAACAAGAGTACTTTGCAGTGGATTGCAGATGTTGAAAAGCATCTCATAAAGGCAGCGTTCTGTGCTATCTGTATAAGCATGCATGAGGAACTTTACACATTTTTCTTTAAAGAATGGTATTGGGCACTTGTCAATACATAGCAATGAGGTTGATATTTCAAAAAGGTTGCCCTGCTGCAGGTAATCCTTTGTGATTTTACTAATACTTGACCTGCTGTTTTTAAATCATGGGCTGTCAATGTCACAGCAAATTCCTCTGAATCCAGGCAGGGGGAACACAGGGTTCTGGAGTGGAGAAAATGTACTACCCCTGCAAAGGGCAGAGCCTCTGTTGGCATTAAGCGTCAGCAGCCATGGTGTGTCACCAACAGCAGAAGTAAAGCAGCTGAAATGACCAGATCGGTGTTTGGAGCTTGTCTGGGTCTTTGCCGTGAATGTGGTACTCCTCCTTCCTTCATACAGAGTAGGGCAGGCTAAGTCAGGAGCAATGACCGTGTACCAGCACCAGCATCTTGTTTTCCCAGAACTGCTCTTTGCCAGCGAGAAGAAATAATGGGCTTTTGCTTTGAATTATAAAAACAGTGTACTTAATCAAATCAGAATGTTCAGTTCCTTCATTTTAAAATCTTTCTGGGTGACACGATGTTCTTGTACAACAAAACGTGCACCAAGGGAGCAGTGACTGCTCGTTGGTGGCTCTGGCACCAACTCTTGTCCTCTGGGCTTGAGCCGTTTTCTGCTGACAGCTGGGAAGGGACCAGCTCCGTGTTCTCCCAGGATGAGCAACACGGCCTTGGGTCTCAGCAGCTCGTGCCACCCTGTCCATAGTAACTCACTTTTTAAAGCCTGATATAAGTTTAGTTAATATCTGTGGGAAAAACACAAGAGCAAGTGGTTTTTGTCCTTATTCAAATCTTCAGAGACTGCCCAAAAGCTTAATTCTTTTACAGCTCTTAAAAAAACCCACTTATTTATATAAGAACCTCTAAATTAAACCCAAACCAAATAGGCACTATATGACCAGTGAGAAAAGAAAAGGAGATAAAACTCCTTAGCAGCACCGTTTTTATGCTCTAGCCCTTCTGGTCGGGGTTGTTTGGAGCAGCCCTGGCTTTTCCAGCCCTCCTGGGTCAGTTGGAGGTGCCTCAGGCCGCAGATGGCTTCTGTGCATGCTGGAAGGGCAGAGAGGAGCAGGGCAGCCCTGGGCACAGGCAGCCACTTGCCGTGCAGGAGGTGGGGCTGTGGTCCAAGTGTGGCTCAACCTCCCGACTCCATGCTCTATTTTAATACCTTTTAATGACACCAGGTTAATGAGGTGAGCCTCTGAGGATGTCATTAGACCTGATGGGACTGGAGGGTCATCTAAACCTGCCTGCCTTTACAGATCTACTCCGGCCCCCCAGAAGACACCACTGCTCCCCCGGTGCCTCCTCCCAGAGTGGCTGCCCGGCGGCACAAACCCATCACCATTTCCAAACGGCCTCTGAGGGAAAGACCCGTCTTCTTCGGTGCTTCTGTGGAAGAAAGTGGAGGTCAGTACAGCTGCTTACTGATGCCTCGCCTGCTGCTTACCCCCTCCCATTTCTTTTAACACCTTTCCAGGAGTGGTGGAGGTAACAACAGCAGGACTGCACTTCCCAGGCCATGAACATGGCAGATAGTGAGGTCTGCTGTTCAGTGAGAAAGGAAAGCAAAAATGTCCTCACACAGAGGCTGCGTCATCTCACAATTCAAACTCAATGGGAATTTTTTTTTTCTGTTCTCTGCAGCAGTCTCTGTTAGCTAAACTAAGACTGCTTCTTGCGTAGGAGAAGCCCAGTGGAAAGGTCTGTAGCTTCAGAGGCAAAACTGCAAACTGATGCTGAGGAGCGGAGTTGGTGGGACAGGAGCGAGTGTGCCTGGGCTGGGGATGGCTGCGTGCTGATGGAGTCTTGTCCTGCCAGAGCAGATCAGTCCCAAGAGGGTCTCAGGGCTGGCTCAGCCTCTGGCTTTTACATCCAGAGCAGGAACGTTGAAGCAGTTTTTCGGGACCCAGTGACAGTATTCTTCTAGACCAAGTACACCTTTGTTGTGGAGTTCATTTGGTTGTAAGGAGCACATCAATTTAAAATCATGTTTCTCTCTCCACTCAATTCGTTCTAATTGCCGTTGCAAGCTGTGCCCTAGATGAAAGGTCTTTTTCTCTGTTACAGTTTCCAGAGCTTTGATGATGTTTTAGGCTTAATACTACAAATGTACTTTTTGGCAATGGCAAAACATGATTGAGTTGAATTACTCTTTAAAATCCCAAGACTGCTTATGTAGTTAGATATGGCCTTGCATTTAAGTGTTTCTCCAAACTGGGAGCAGCAGCATTAGTGTTCGACTGCACTGAGGCTGCAGGGTGCAATTGGTTTCATAGCAGCACTTCTGCATCCTCTGTGTGGGTCTCTAGCACAGCAAGAGCAATGAGATGTATGATTTTTGGAGAGACATAAAAGCATGGTACATAACTTCTCATCAGCGAGAGCACTGGAAATTTAAAAGAAACACGCAAGTGTATTCTGTGATATTCAGCACTGTTTCAGTTTTCTTTATTGCTTGGCATCTGCATGAGCCATTTGCTATTTGTGTCTGCTCAGGGTGAGGGTCTGTTGATACCCTGCCACACGTGTGCTTGTCCCTCAGTACTGCAGCAGCTGTGCAGCTCTGGGGCAGGTCTCTGCGCTGCCACGGGGCAGAGACCACAACACCTCCGTGCTGCTTCCTAACCTGATGGCTCTTTGTCCCCTTGGCTCCGCAGTGGACCGACACAGCCAGACCCCCAACGGCAGTGGCGGAGCAGAGGCCCCCAAGCCACTGCACCGCAGCCGCCTGCCTGCGCCCCGTCTGGGGGGGGACGAACCAGGGCGTCCCCCTGCTGAGGGTCGGCCCGACCCACGTGCCGAGGCAGAGGTGGGGAAGCTGGTGGCCAGGCTGCAGGATGGAGGGGTGAAGCCAGCCAGCAAAGCTGCCAATGGGGTGGTGGCCAGCCCTGCTCTGAAGACCTCCACGCTGCAGGCCAGAAGACCGGCGCCCAGGCCAGGGATCTACGGCAGAGAGGGTAAGTGTGTGCGGCAGTCCTAGCCAAAGCAAGACAGAGGAGTGCCTTCCTCTCGGGGAAAGCTCAAGGTGCTCAAGCCAGCCCTCCCCACTGCACATCATGCAGCAGGAGCGAGTGGTGGGCTTCTCGCCTTGGTCCTCTTGATGTAGCTCAGCAGGAGGGCTTGGGAGACCTGAATAGCTTGAGATGAGCACAGGCCCACAGCCTGAGGGTTTGATCCAGTCTTGGTATCCTGACTTGTCCCATTTTATTTCAGACAGTGGATACTTTTGGTCTGTTGCTCACTGTGGGGTTTTGGAGCAGCCTGCAGAGCCCATGCTGGTGCCAGTACTGGTGCTGGTGCCAGCGCTGCCTCTTTGCTGAGCTGGGCAGAGCCACCAGCATCAGACGAAGCAGCCTTTCTGTGCAGTAGCTGAGCCTATGCTTGTGCTCAGTGGACTTGCACGATTCAGGCTTGAGTACTGCTATGAAGATCATTAAACCCAAAGTGATTTATGCCTATTCTGACAACAAGCACTCTGGACTGTCAGTGCTCTCCTGGAAAATGGCAAAAGTCATTTTCACATTTTAATTTCTGATGGTTTTATCTGTCAGCCACCCTGTGACATAGCTTTTGGCTTTCCTGGGAATGTTTATTTCAGCAGTTCATCTGTTGGTGTTAAATACAAATAATAATTATTATTTGTATTCTAACAAGCTTTATGCAGAAATTTATTACAGGTAGAAATAATTAGTTTGGGGCCAGATCTGAGCTGCAGTGACCGTTTCAGTGGAGGAAGGTACATTGGTGTTTGTTTATCTGCGTGTCTGTAGCCATTCTCCCCTGCAATGCCAAGGAGCTGGTTGTGGGACAGTACAGCAAGTATTTGGTGCTGAGTTTTACAAAGTGCTCAGGATGATGGTCGTAATAAAAAATATATTGCTTTCTACAGCTTGCCAGCTTTTCCTCTGCACTTTCCAGTGCTTTTTAGATGCTGTCATACCCTGATAGCTTCACAGTCCTGGATTAAGAAAATAAAAACCAGGTTGCATTCTTGACAAATGTCTCCCGTGTTGCAATGGGTAGGGAGAAGAAAGGCCTGGCGGGGCAGCACAGACATTAAATTCTTCCGACTGACACTACTGGCTTAATTTAAATTTGTCACATAAATGGTAGATGGATATCTGCTTTTGGAAGAGTGAGATAGCTTTTAAAGTTGGCTTATAGACATCAGCTGCGTATAGTGCTTCCAGGCTTTATGGTTTTGCATTATCACATGTAGCGTGCTGACAGCATGTCCTGGAGCCACAGCGTAATGAAATGAGCCGTGTTGATCCTTCAACGTATGCATAGAAGAACACTGAAGCAGTAATGACTCTGTATTACATCAGTGTTGATACTTGCAGATCAGTGCTAGAACACTGTATTAAGCTTTGGTGTGCACAGTTTGGGGATAGTTTTGAAAAACTGGAGAAACTAAGAAGAGGTATAGGTGGAAGGATTAGAAAACAGGCCTTTTACTGAGAAATTTGAGTTATTCAGCTTACCAAGGAGAAAATTTAGGAGCAGAATTTACAAATGCAAGCATAGAAGAGTGTTGGTTAAGGACTGCTGTTTGAGTTAGCACACCAGGATATAATAAGGTTCAGTAACTAAGGGCTGACAAAACCTTGGTTAAGTAGATGCAGCAATCAATCATCTTACTAAATAGAAAAACATCTTTGACTTATTTCTAATCAGAAACGGGACTCTCTAAATCAGAAAGGCAGGAACCCAGCCCTTAAGATGGTTTTGAGCCATTTAAATGGCCAGAAGATCATGAGGATCATTGTCCTGCAGAAATGTACCATGGGGGTCTGGACCCTGGAAGGGGAACAATGAGTTTGGCTGGATCTTGGGGAAGAAAAGCAGCTGAGGCAGGAACTCCTGTGAGCAGAGCAGAGAGCAGGGGGAGAGGACAGATAGTGCTGCTGTCTGAGATAACAGCTCAGAGATGCAGCAGCCCCAGACTGCAGGGATCACCAGTTTGTGCCATTCCTCTCGCTTGTGAAGAGCAGCATTGCACAGGTTATTTAAGGAAACTTGTCATTCCCAGGCAATGTCATCTTTGCAATCAACAGCTGTATCAGGTTTGTCATCACAGGGTCCAGCATCAGCCCCTCTTTCCTAGTGCCAGGAAGGCTGTGCTGGGGCAGGCAGAATGGGAAGTGCCTTTTCCTGATACTTTCCCTAAATCCTGGCTATTGGCTGCTGTCAAAGAGGAGATGTTGGGGCAGACAGACAGGCAGAACTAAGCCCACTGACTTGTTTAATGCCTCTTGATAAACATCTAGCCCTCCACCAAAGCTTCATACTCAGTGTTTGTAATCCTCAACCTTGCAGGCGAGTATGACAGTGTCCCTAAGCCACGATCCCATGGTGATAAACCCGTGATAATGCGTCCCCCTGTGAGACCTCCAGACCCGCCGTGCAGGACTCCTGTCCCCCTCAGGCTGGAGCAGAGGCCGGACCTGATAGCAGGCACAGCAGAAGAGATGCCTTCATCTGTGTAAGTCAGCAGCCCTCGGCATTTGCATGGTACCCAGGAGCAGCTCAGCCTGAGGGAGCTGCCGGGACTCAGGGGCTTGGGGTGTGTGTGAGGGGAAAAGGTCAGCCCGGGCGGCAGGAGCTGGTGTCACCTATCAGGAATTTTGGAAGAGGAGGAGAAATGCCATGTTGGTTTCCAGCACCAGTGGTGTACAATGGCTGGAGCCCGTGGATGTCCTCTTCAACATCAGTACAAGCGCGGGTTTGAATGTCACGTTGAAAAGCTGTGCAGAGAGCATGGCCTGGGAGCAGAGTGTGGCTACAGCAAAGGCAGGCACACGTGAGAAGAACAAAGCTCTGAACCTTCTTAAGCACAGCCCTGGAGCTGAACTTTGTCCTGTCACCCTTTCTGCTATTTCTGTGTCAGTGAAGCTGGAGAGCCCCTCCCTCCGTGCCTCTGGGCAAGCTTCTCAAATGAGACACTTCCCTGGGAAGGACAAGATCCAACTTGGATCTCTCATAAGGAAATTGGATGGAGTTCAGCTTCATCATCAGGTTTCTTTCAGATTTTAAAGAGACAGAAACCCTACTGGCTTCGATGAAGCGCAGGAACAGGCCTTGCCTTCGCTCTCCTGAGACGCGTGTTAGAACTTTTCTTTCTGTGAGGACGGTTAGAAGCTGAGTATGAAGCACACAAAAACTGAAGGAGAGGCCGTAACAAGTGATGGCTGCAGGTTTATAAACCAGCGAGTAGGTTTATAAGCAAAAGCATGGAAATAGGCAGCCTAGCTCCCAGTGATCAAGTGCTGCCTGGCCAGGGTGGTGAGAAGACAGAGGGGAATGGAGCTGGCAGCACGAGGAGCACGTCCAAAGGTGGTCGTCTTCAGTGTCTGCTAATGCCACTGCTCTTTTCCCTGGCACAGATGAGATCTAATTAACAAAAGGCCCTATCAGATAACTGGAGAGACCTCTCTTGTTCTCTTTTTTAGGGTCGCCTCTAGGACAAAGTTCTTTGAGACAGCTTCCCGAAGAACAAGCAAGTAAGCCTGGCACGGGGAGGTTGGCGTGTACATTGGAGCAGCTGGGCTGCGTAAGGTGCTCCCTCCGAGGCACGAACCCCAGCCATGACCTTTCTTGCCTCATACTCATGGGCAGAAGATGGGTCTTAGCTAGAAAGGAACAATGAGCACAAAGTGTAAAATGTGAATCCAGATACAGACTTGATAAGTTAAATGTAAACCTGCTAAGTAATAAGAATATCATTTTTATCTTGTACGTGGATCTAAGTCAGCATAGTACACATTGTACTTGCTTCTCAGCCTTTGCAAAGAGCAGAGATAAGGTCGTGGGAGAAAGGAGAAGGGCTGGTTAGATCACAGCTGATCAGAGATGCGAGACTGGAGAGTTGAAGTTCCTACACGCGATGTGTGTGCAGGCGTAGCTCCACCCTGGAGAGGTACGGTGTGATGGAGTGATAGCTTGGGGACCAAAGCCTTCGGGCTAGGCTGGGATGGCAGGGCTCTGAACTGCAAGCGTGGTTTGTGGCAGCAGATTGCGTTCGTAACAATATCTGCTCAAATAAGCTTCAGCTTCCTGCTTTTAAAGATCACCAGCCTCTGCCAAAAGTGCGAGCAGGTTTGCACGCGAGTGATAAATGTTGTCTGCTACTGAGCTCACTTGTTATGCTGAAAAATATATCCCTGACCTGCCTGTCACCCAGCCCTCTATTTACGTTTGTGGATCTGAGTTTGAGCTTGCTTTATTGCATTGACTTTTTTTTCTGTATTCTTCTACTTCCTTACATACAGTTCTTCATCACCACAAGGCAGGATCCCAGGTGATGAGAGCTGAGTCAAAAGGTACGTGTTTATAACAGTAAATCAAATAATAAACCAAAAGCACACATTTAACACAAAATCAACATTTACAGGGTAGTGGGAATCCAGTGGTAGCAGTGGGAATCTCAAAAGAAAGATTAGGAGAAATGTCCTTCCTGTAGAAAACCCTTGCAGAAGGAAAGTTAATGACTGGATGTGTCTGTGCTCTTCACTGGGGGGTGGTTTGGCAGGGTAAATCCACCTGCTCTGCCCTTCCTGAGCCTCCTTGCTGCAGCACTCAGGGTAAACGTGAGCCCTGCAATTGGCAGTGCTGAGATCTGGACGTTGCTCTGGTTGTGGTTTTGCCATCGCCGCTGAATTTCCACTGCTGCATAGGGTGTGCTTGTTTTCTTCCAGGCAGGTTTTGTAAGCACCTCAGCCCAGCTACACCCAGGAGATCTTCTGTCCTTGTGAAACGGACGTGTCGCAGCTAAGACTTTCCCAGTTCCAGTGCCCCTGGAGAGCAGCTATCTTACCGGACGATAATTTCAGAGCATGCTGTCATAAAATGGCTCAAGAAATTAGAAGAGAGGGAGAAGACGATGAAGGCCCGACCCGGATGTTTGTGTTGAACTGTTCCCAGTCCTCCCGCCGCTCCTCTCTGCACAGACTGCGAAGGATGCTCATGTGTGCCAGCAGCAGCAGAGCCATCCAGCTGATGGGCTGCAGATGGGACAGCAGAGGACAGAAGTGACCATTTATCTGCTCACTTTTTGGGAAATACACCTTGGCAAGGGTGACCTTGGGCAGATGTTGGAGTCAAAATGCTGGGGGCTGACTCCTCTTGCTTGGATGCAAGGGGGTTTGAGATGGACCCCTTGCTGTGAGGAGCTCCTTCCTTTATGTTATGTTTTCCCTGCTCAGTAAGCTCTAGTGTGTTTGTCAGTGTGTAGGAGAGCCGTGTATGTTACTGGAAATGCTGCTTGTGCTATGGCAGACGGGGCAGGGATTGAGGGGACCATCGTGCTTAGCTCTGCGGGAAGTCTCATCATGTCCTCCCTGGCATCAGTGTGCCCCTGTTCTGGGAACCACAGCAGCAGATAGGGCTGGGCCAAGGGGCTTTGCCTGAGCTTGGCTGGGAGGAGGATGAGGTCTTCCTCTTCCTCTTCGAGCTGTTCTCCCACCAGATCTGCTTCCCACAGGCCCACCAAGAAGTCTCTCTCCTCAGAGTTATTCTGGTGGTCTAGCTTAAAGGTGGCAAGGAACTGAAATTTGCTGAATATGGGTCAAAGCCCACCATTTTTCTAAGGGGCACCCAGTTTCCTGTTTGCTTGTTACATTCATTTCCAATTCGAGCAATGTCCAGTGCGTTTTCCTCACATGTAGATGATGCCCTCTGGTCTGGGAGGTTTCTCTTAGCCAGGACCACCCCCATTTCCACTGTTAGCAGTAGAGGCTTTTCTGTGCTTGCAGCTGACACCAGGGCTCAGTGCCAGAGCGGTGGCATTTCCCTGTGAATAGGCAGTGAACAGCTTCCCTGTTTTGAATTATTTCCCTTGGGTGCTGGGAGCATTCCCAAAACATCCAGACATCCCCATTAGCTGCTTCCTGGGTGCTCCATCCTCTCCAGTGTGCTTGGTGTCCTGCCTGGCACAGGTTTGCCTGCAGGATGCTGCTGTGGTCCTTCCCGTGCCATCTCCCAGTGCTCGCCTTGTGTGTGCATCCAGCGCCTGTCTGCGTTAGTGCTGAATGTAATTCTGGCATGACTAGGCACACAGGTTTCATGTCAATGGTGCTTTTGCTCCCTCGGGCTGCAGTGGTGCCCACCTGCTCGCTCCCGTACTCCTGCTTTGAACAGTGGCACCTAAAAGTGGCTTTAAAAAAACCAAAACAGAGCAGTGATATCGACGCCTAGAGACTGTATTATGCACATCAGCATCTCAGGGCTTTTCAAAGCTAAGGTGAGCCCCTTCGGCCGCACCCTCTCAGAGCAGCTGGGAGGGGTGAGCAGCAGCAAAACAGAGCGCATCGTGGTTTTCTTATCAGGTAAGGCTGAGCCAGCGAGACTAAAGGTGGGAGAGGGGTGCTCCAAGCGGCCCAGAACGGCTGTGGTTGCTGGGGAAGCCTCTGCAGCACCCAGGCAGCCCCGTGGCTGTCCCAGAGACATCGGGCCAGTGGTTCATCCTCAGAAGGCCAGCATTTCCCAAAATGCCTTCCCCTCTTGGGGCTGTGCGGGCTTCTGTGGAGGTAGTTTGGTTTTAAGTCTGACATTGTACAGGATGGAGGGAAGCAGCTTATTAGAAACGTATTACACTGTGTTCTTTTAAAGTCGTCGTCACGCGTGTGTCTGTGCTGGCTCTCCCTCCTCCATGCCCACGGCTGAACACTGGGCACTAGCAGCAGGGGGGTGTTGGGTTGTGGGCAGCTGTGAGGCACAATCCTTGCTGCTGGTGCCCCAGAACACGGGGTTCACCCCACACACGGCAGGGCCCCTGCCGTCAGCCACCGGAGCCATTCTGTCATGTACAAGCATAGATTTCTTCAAGTGTTTATAAAATTTCCATGAAGTTTTGAAAAAGAGCCCACATGTGCTTGTTTTCTTCATTAAACAACATTTGGGTGTTAAACACGCTATAGCAGAGAGGCATGTTTGACGGTACGTGGGTTTTAAGTGTTTTCTCCTTTTAACTTCAGCTCACTGATTCGCATTCAGCTGCCTCTGTCAGCATAAGCACCTTTCTGCTTATTTATGATTACTGCAGACACAGCACCAGCTTCTTTCCCTCTGTCTGGCATCTTTTTCCCCTCCTCATGTCTGTTTTTCCCATCCCTCTCAGCTCTGATGTTGCGATGTTGTTCATTAGCACTTGGTTTGCAGGCTTCTTGCTTTTCTTTAACAAAAAGACCTCTTAGAGGAGAAAAGAGCTTTCTCTCTTGTAACGGGAGCTGCTGCTCCCTGCTTTTGAGCTTGAATTTATGGAGAAGCACCCGGCTGAGGCAACCACAGAGGAGAGGGGGCTGTTCTGGGGGGAGCGTGGGGCAGGCGATCCCCCCGTCTTGGCTGTGGTGTGTACCCTCTGGCGTGGGGGCAGGAGCAGGGGATTAACCCCCTGAACAAAATTGCATTTCTCTTGTGATTACAACCCTTCTCCTGACTTTTACCCTGGAATTCTTTCAGGCTGTTACTGCTGAGTTACCTTTGGCATACGGGAGGATGGGGTGAAGTTTGTCAGCAATAATTAGGGGTGTGAAATGGTGGCATTGAGATGGGAACTGCTTCCCTGCAAACCCCGGACTAACAGAAGATCCTTGTTAAAGCTGGGAAGAAACAACTGGCAGCATTGCAAAGCAGTGGCCGGCCCTGGGGGGGTGGCAGCAGGCACAGCCCCACACACATCATCCCTGGCCGGGCACTGCCAGGGGCACATCCCGCCCCTCTTGTGCCAGAGCATCCCTGTCTGGGATGGGCACAGAGTTCTGAGACCCCAGCAGCACAAGCTGAAGCAACAGCTTGAGGGGTTTGGGGTTTTTTCCTTTTTTCCTGGCTCCTTGTTTCTCAGAAGTTTCCTTTTGGGACTGTAGTTTTTCCAGGGATGGATGCCTTCAAAACACCAATGTTTCATGGGGAAAAAAACCCCAACTGTTTTCTTCTTCTATCAGCCCTTGTAGCCAGTGATGACAGATTGGAACCAGCACTGAGGAATTATCCCAACAATTCTGGTGTCCCAACCCACAGGTGCGTGGTTTGCTTTCTTAAAGGAAAATGTTTTGATTTCATTGGAGCAAGAAAAATATTTTCCAGCATAAATGAAACCTTGCAAGTTGTTACACAGAGGAAAGCTATCAAAACAAGACGTTTCAAAGCTTGAGACTGGACCTCAGCGAGGACTTCCCAGAGGAAGAATTGGAAGAGGGTAAAGGCACAGTTCAGTAGACACATCTGTATGATAAATTTGGAATTGAAATGTACTTAGTGGAGCACTGACATCTTAAATTTATGTGCTGCACAGAGACCCGCAAAGGTGCAGGAATCCGCGCAGGACTTCTTGCAAGATCGGAGTCTCAGTTTTAAGCTTCATAATTCACTCCAGCCCAACTGGCTGCACAATTACCCAGCTGAACACTCTGATTTAGGATCAGCTTTCTACGCCGGACGTTTTCTTGGCAACCATCAGGAGCGTTCCCTGGCCTATACATCCATAAATCAAGAGTTGGGCCACCAAAAAACAAGTCCTGCAATTGGCTTAAAAAATCAGGAGATGCTTTGAGCTGGTAAAAGCTGTGATTTGATTTTTTTTTTCCTTATATTTTCAGAAGGTTTATGGAAGAAACATTTTCCCAGTCTCTATCAGAGCCCATGAGAGAGGTCCTAAAAGGCAGACATTCTGAAGATGCTTGAAATCATACCTAAACTGTTGCTGTTCCCATGGAGGCTTAGAGAAATACAACCCTTCTCCCCCTCAGGATCTGGTGTCCTTTGCTCCGTGTCCTCCGCACCTTGGTCCCTCCTGGTTCCCATCCCACTGGGGCTCATCCTAGCACCACACCATGCGCCTGTGGTTGCTCTGCTCCGGCAGGGCCAGGCCGCAGGGCCCTGCTCACCCTCTCCTTGGCATCTGCCCGCTGGCGGGTGCAATTCTGGGCAAGGAGCAAACCCCAGGGCTGGCCGACTCCTTGTGTCAGGAGCGCAGGAGTCACCGTGACCCCGCTGAGGTCTGCGGCTGAGCCCGGCGCAGGGCAGAGCAGGGCCCGGCGCCTCGCCCGGCTGCGCTCGCCACTGTTTGCTCCGCCCGGGTGGGACGCAGGAGGTGCCAAATGTACCGAGGTGCCAACCTCAACAGCAACGGGAGACAGGCAAGCCTGCCATTGAACAGGCGAGGACATGGCGGCTCTCACATCCCAGCGACTGGGGGCACCACAGGGCCCTTCGCCACAGGAAGGACATTGAGGGGCTGGAGCGTGTCCAGAGAAGGGCAACAGAGCTGGTGAAGGGTCTGGAGCACAGGAATTATGAGGAGCAGCAAAGGGAATTGG